TCGCTTTGTTAATATTTTGATTCGAAGCAACTCAAAAAAGCAAACTGTAGGTAATTGTGACAAGTAAGCAACAAAAGTAAACAGCCAAGATAGGATTTTTTTTCTAAATGGTTGTTCGGCCTGAGTGAGATTGATGCAGTTCTCCTAGACGGTTTTGCTGTAATGCCATCACCCTTTACTGCTTAACTTCCGCTCGGTGACGGCTTATTTACTAGTTGCCTTCGATTGGCTTCCGGTTGCCATCACAAATGACTGATATGGTGATGAAGCTGTCGATTAGTAACACACAACAACACCTTCGCATAGGCACTATAACGGCCAAAACCAGCTAAGAACATAGAGCCGGTTGATTTCCGAAAATAGACTTCATTTTCACATCGAAAACTGGATTATAGACAGAGCACCGCCCCTGGACAGAATTTCAACCAGCAATTGATGTTTTTGGGCATTCACCCTAACCACAACGCTATTGAGCTCTTCGATGCTCCCACTCCCTCCCTGAGACTCTGAAATTGTTCAGGCACGAAGTTTTTCAATGTACTCTATTCTAATATTACCAGAACCTTTTCGATTGATTTCGATCCGAATAGCAAATATTGACAAGCAGGAGCATTAATTCTAGACAACTATAAAAGCGTTTCACCGTGGTGACTTCTTGAACAGTCAAGTCCTTATAAAAGAAACTTATCTTAATCGAATTCCCTCGGATGCGCCACATACTCAAGTTCTAGTCAGATTTGTAGGTGCATTTGTAGCGGATCTTTCTTTTACAATGACTTGAGCATCGCCTTACCTGTTCAGACGCCCTGTCATTGATGTTATTGTTATTGCTGTAGATATGTCTAGTGTTGTAAATATTGTTATAGCCATCATAAACAATAATACAGTATCTAGCCCTTCATTACCATTTTCGAGGCAGAAATTTTTCAAATTACAAAATGGCTGCATCGGCGAGTATATCATTGTATTCAACTTATTGAAGTGCACTCGGAAAGCTCAAATGTGGTTATACCAATGCCATAAGTCCTCCTGCTGCATTGCCACTTCGAAAAGCATGTATTCTGACGTATCTGCTGCGCTTTCCTTGTATGTAAAGGTGCGGATCGGAGATCGCAACTGGGCTTAAAGCACGTTGACAATAAATCTTGACGAAAGAAAAACTCCCTATACAGCACTGGACTCTTTAAATCAGCCTGCAGACCGCGATTGCAGAAGGCTCGAGCTTTCTCGTCGGTGCGTTTACTTTCCACTCTTTACTAAATTACCACTATTTTCTTGATTTCATTGAAATTATTTTATCGTCGTTACTATTTTATCTAGTGGTTTTATATTGGTTTCATTAGCAAATATTGCAATGCGTAACTAGGGTTCCAGAAATCTCGTAAAAGGCCGATTACTGATGAGCCTTTATCAGTGTATATTTTTCATCTTTGATGCGCAAATTATCCGTAAAGAAAGGCGTGTTCTCTGCATTTTTTTCTTCGTAAAAGAAAAACTGATGGGCAACTCATATCCTGACTCGAAGTCTTTTTAACAAACACATTGTTTTTAGGAAAAAACCCTAAGATTCGGGGTTTATAAGTCAGTTACTGTATCTGATATGTTGATGCTCCCTTCGCTTTCACACTACAGGGATTGTATCTTGTGAAGTAGCTTTCTGTTTTATTTATTTATTTATTCATACACTCGACTGAGTGCGCCAATATGGGGAACTGAGGACAGGTGTTTTCGGAAATCTCCGAACCCAGAGGTAGACATACCCTCCTGAATTCTTACCACATAGGAAACGCTTAGCCATTATGAAAAGGTCCTATTCAACATCGGTATATGCTCTATCCAGGTCCCTATTCGCCAAAATTTCACGCTTTCTAGAACCAAGAAGCAGCACGGGAAAGTCATATACCGTATTCCGATTGAAGAGGCATGGGAGTTTTATATACAGTATCTCAAGGCAGGAGGTTTGAAAGGGAACTGTGCTACCAGTTTTACACTGAGATCTCAAATTAGTTGTTTTTGTAGATTGATTGATTTTTAAATTTAAGTTCTAGAATTTGTTAAGTCTATCACCTTTTTTATGGGTCACTCTTTTGACCGTATGGGGTATATTACACTGTTACATTGTCAAAGACAGCTGACTAATGACTAAAACTGTCTCTTCGATACGTATTCGATTTTGAGTACCGTTCTGTTTGTACCTACTTTACAGTAACTTGTTACAAGTCATCCGATAAGGCTCATAGGGTATCATATTTACTCAGTTATTTACCAGTAATCATTGGAGAATGAGCGTCTGTTGGTTGTTTTCAATGGTCAATCCCTTATCGAGCCCATTACGGCTAGCGCCAATGGAATCGATCGTTCTGCACTTCAGAACGGTGTGTCAGTTGGCGTTGGCTTGGTCGATCGCTCGATCTGTCCGTTGATCGAGTAGTCGATCTGTCGATGATCGTCAATTGTCTATTGCTGACAGTGTCTATGGCTAGAGAAAACTCGTACTTTTCAGATAGATCCGCCCTTTTTCGACGAGAAGATAATGGCATGGTCATAGTGTAAGAATGCAGCAACGTCTACAGCATCAACTACTTTTTCCATTACTTTTATCGTGTAGGTAGTACTTTATAGTGTTTTTGAGAATTTCAAACATTTCCGGTGTAATGAATGGAATGTAAGATAAGCGGACATACCTCACATACCGGGCGATTTCGACATTCTTACGGGTTGAAAGGCCATTAAATGAAATCGCTCCTTAACAAATCTTATTGGTCATTTTCATTTCAGTTACTCCTTTTAACATGAAAGGTCAATCATTCTCCTTTTGGAAAAAGGCGATTCGGAAGAAAAATCAAAGACGAATGCCTGTGAATACCTAACTCGTCTTATTGGCCCTGAGTTTACTTAACAATGAGCGCCCAACCGCCGGCCAAAGTCTGCTGGCATGTGGATTCAATCCACTGGTGGATTTTGGGTAAAGGAGTTTATTTCTGAGTGGTATACCACGCCAGGAGACAACTGATCATGCCACTGGAGTACAGCGAGACAACTAGCTAGGAATCGCCGCATCGGGTATAAGGTCACGGGTCTCATGGTGGGTTTCTAAATAAATGGTTAGGTATTTGCTAACAACCTGAAATGCCTTTACTTGTCGAGGAGCAAGCTTTGAGCTTAGCTTGGATCAGGCACTTTTAAGGCAGCTTTTCGGAAATAATCACTTAAAACCGGTGTACATGATCATGATTATCTACTTACAAGTACACGACAACCAACCGCATGCCCCCCTGGAGTCTTTCTTCACGCCAAGAACGAATGCGTAAAAAACGGTGAAGCTCCTGGCAGTCTTGTTTTCGGTCTATACCCGTGATAATCGTTCAGTATGAAACGCCGATTTCGTGCGTGTCCAGTTCGTTACCCCATAATCGTTTATTTGATATGTTTCGACGTGTTACACGTGCAAATGGGAATCGTTTTTCTCCCCATGGATGGATGTCAAAGTGGGAAATATGGGTCGGGTTGTCCGGTGGAAGTACAGAGCGGAAGAACACAAGTTTTTTTTCGCACATCTAGGATGTGACTGTCGAAAAAAATGTCACGGTTCCTGAACATTCACAGCGATGTCAGTAATCCTTTTCGTTACGTACCTGTCTTTTGAGGAATGAGTTCGTTCAGGGGTTCTTGCTGCTGGGGTCACTTGGACCGAAAAAAACTGTATCCCAATTTAAAAATCCTTCTAAGGACAACACGATACATAATTGAACAGTGAAGGTATAAAAGCGTTGGTGCTAAGCAGTTCGCCTTGGGCAAGGAAATCAAAAAATGTTCCTAGAAGTCCGGAAAATTCATCTCTTCCCACATCGCTCAACTTTCAGCATTATACAAATTGAGGGTACAATAATCCTAATTTTGCATAGGTCCATCCGGTGGCTCCATGTTTAGGAATATCGTTCGACCGCTCAGTGGATGTGCCTGATGGCAGTGGTAGTTCTAAACTAATTTTGAAATTTCGAACAATATTAAGCGCTTTCTTCTCTTTTTTCTGGGCAATTTCCTAAGAGACAACACCGTTTTCCCCCCTTTTCGGGGCCTAAATCTGGTCTCAATCCAGCCTCACCGCTATTGTCTGTATGAATAGTCATTTTCTCTAGGTCTGTACGTGTTGGGAAAAGTCACTCTGAAGCCGGGCCCAGCATTTGCNTTGCTTTGACCTATAAGAATAGATAAATTCTAATTTTTGATATCCTACCGGGCTGCTTTTCCCTTAGTTTCGATCGTAAAGGTACTCGGAATCTTATTTGTAGTAATCGACCGAAAATGGTTTACTTCTTCCATTCAGTGCTCGTACCAACTGAGTGAATGAATATATTAGGAGGACAGGTCATTAGAGATGAAATTCTTTACACGACCCTGTAGGTGGTCACCTCTGATACTCCTCAATCAGTTTTGGGTCAAAATCGTGCCATGAGTGTCACTGACAAAGAGTCCGGGAGTACGGTACAAGGAGAAGTTCATTCGAACGTCTGCCAGTCTGTTACGTCACATTGGGTGACTCACCGATAGACTTCGTCTCTAGTGAAACGCGGAATGTTCTGGAAAAATTCCTATCAGAGGGCAATTAAATTTAGTGGATGCAGTGTAATGAAAGACAAGGAGGGCTTTTTTGGCGTTGATTAGCCCCATACGGGTGATGGGCGACACAATCCAGGGCAGCTGGCATCATTGGAAAGTGTATTTGGCATTAACAGCCATCTGCAGGGGCCTATGAATTGGTCGGCCTTCTAGATGAAATCGCTATGATCAGTCGATCTCTAGGGGACAGAAGTTTCAGTTAGTACCAGTAGACAGAAGGACTTTTTTACGATGTCTTCGTTTTCTGAAATAGCCCACGAAAGTGTTCCTCGGAGAGTGCGATAAAACCCATTCCCCAAATAGGTTACTCCCATGTTGTCAATGGGTGGACCCAATTGAAGGCAATTGCACTGAAAGTCATCATAAGAGATGTTTACTTTTCAATTTTGTATCGATGTAGAGGACAGAAACGAATCGGTACCAGTAAAATGACAAATATCACGTTTCCCAAAGTGTAAAGAGAAGAGAGTGCTATAATCGGAACAAACGGGAACATGATCATGTGATGTCGATAGTTCAGAGAATATTGAAGTTGTCAATAAATTTTGTAAACTATCAATATTTCTAATTGTTTCAGTTCTGTTTTTCCTGAATTCGTTGGCATCACCATTGCGAGGATGCGAAAAGAACAGTACAAGTGAGTCAATGGGTCTTTATTACTACTTTCCTGATGTTGTTGTTTTCACAGGACCTTTCCGATTACTGTAGAAGAGCTGGTATCCCTTCTTATATTCCCTTAATGTACTGCGCGGTTTTCATACCGTTTCATCAGGGAGCAAAGTGTCTTTAGGATGTAAGGGTAAGCCTCTGAGCGTTGAGCAAACCTTCCGAGGGAAGGGCCAAGCATTCGACTTCCATTTATAATCGTAGTGGCGTATTGAATGCGTATGTGGCCCAAAATGATTTGCGGTGGTCAGCTGGTGTACAAGTCACTGCTTTTATCCTCCCAGAAGAGTCCGGTGCCAATCAACACACCCGGGACGAAAGCTAAAGTGGGCTAATTCAGTTTTCTTTTTTAGCCTGAGACCATCCCTCTTGCACTCCCAATTAGAAGATCCTAAAGATAGAAAGTGTCAGTTGCTTCTCTGACATCGGATCCCACTGACCTTTGGATTGCTGGCCCTGTCGCCACCGTGACAACAACTTAATACCAGTGAAAGATACTATAGTTGAGGGCTTTCGACCGACCTATCCTTTAGTGATAACAGAGAAAGAAAATTTCAGCGATAAACCTTTTGAAAGAAAGCGATCTCTCCTCCCATGCATCTTAGCTTTGATCCCTCATTGTCAAGGAGCCCTCTGTTCTTGTTAGATGCCGCCGTTTCCTTCTCTCCAGGACACCTTCTGCCTCCCTTTCCCTTAATAACTAGTCCAACCACTTTTTGGCGAGAATCTGTAGAAAATACGCTTAATTTATGAGTTTTAGCGATACTTTGAAATGTTCGTTTTTGACCGCCTTGACAAATATCTGTCGTAACTGATGTATCATTGCTTGTCCAGAACTTTCCTTAGCAAATTCTGAGACGGTAAAATTTCAGGATGCTTCCAAGTATTTAAAGTATCGCTGTCCACATTACAAGAAGAGGATCTGAGTCGAAATTTGAAACCAGTGAAGAAATATGGCAACAATGTGTTTGCACCACGTGGCAATTCACCTAAACTTACTGAAAAAGTCATCGAAAGTATGCCAGCCAACGCGGATCCTCGAGTAAAAGTAGCCTTCTTTTTATTTCTTGCTTCATCTTCATGAAAAATAGTGCCCCATTGTTCATTTCAAAAATCTATACAGAAAGCCAATTGATCAGGTAAATAGTCAGCAGAAAATAATTGATTAGTTAAATAATCAATCATATAGATAATAGTCAGAATGTGAAAGAAATAAAAAATAGTTACCAGAAGATTCTGGGCTGGAATGGGATTCCAAGATTGTCTTTATTTCAATTTGCGACGCTGCAATATTAGCCTAGCTGCCTGTTCACATTGAGTGACGTACCAGCGAGCGGTCGCGGCACGGATACCATCTCATCCCCACAACCAATGAGATTCAGATTTTTTTGGGGTTACTTGTAGAATTTTCACCAATTTACTACAGTAATTGGCGTGATCATTGGTCTTTCGGTTTGAGCCTTAACTTTGGATAAATTTATCAAAGAAATGCAAAAAACTAGCTTTTTGACCCAATGCTCTAACGGCACTTTAACCGTATGAAAATATGTTTCCCCAAAAATTCGCATCAGTTCTAATTTGAAATGAATTTCAGGAAAACATCCTCAATAATAACTATTTTTTGAAAAGAGTAGACGCCGATGATGGGTCGTTATTCACCGACGATCTACAAGATCTTCTCCCACAGAATATTCAACAGATGCAGGTCGATTCCCAAAACTTTTCAGAACTTTTTGGAATTTTCGATCGTTGCGAAAACTTCTTTTAGATACCTAAATTTTTGAAAGTTCTTCTGAGAAACATTCTCTTTCAGAACAGTCCATCTGTTTCAATTGAGGATTCGCTACCAGTATATCTGATCATACTACTAATCGTTGTTGGAATTCTTGTCGGTGTCCTCGGTACCTGTTCAGTGCTGGTATTCGTTGACTACAAAAATAATCCGAAATTCGACACGTATGTTTTTTTTTGAGTTGAAAATTGGTGAAGTTGTCTTCGCAGAATACTGCTTTTCTTCGAGTGCGCCATGCATTTGACTCGACCACCATGTCGTGTTTTTTGTTGATAACATTTGAAAGGCTTCAAACTTTCAAAGCGATCGCAGAATTCCTGTTTGTCGATGATTTCGATCAATGCGTCTGAAATTTTTCCAAAGTTATGCAAATTGAGATTCGAATCATAAATCAGAGAAAAAAATTGAGAAAATTGGAATTCAAATTGAAATGAAGTGCAGTGCAAAAAATTGGTGTGAAGTGCTCTTCAATTTCTGTAATTTTATCCTTCAACAATTTAGCTTTTATCCATTTCGAATACGAAGAATGAATTGCTTGCTCATAGAGACAACAAAGACTCTTGATGTTCTAACATTAGGAAATGTAGTGTTCATGAGATGATGAGCAAACATTATTTTCCGATCACTCCTTTTTTGGTTCACACAGTTTTGCCTATCTCGTTTCAATCCATTGTTTACAAATTTGTCTTCATTCGAAAAGCCATCTGGTTGGGATATTGAGTAAATAGGAAGCGATTTATTCGAGCTTCCAACAGGCTCCGTCTGCTCATCCTCACGCGTTCCTGGACTTGTATCAGGTTCGAGAATGATCAAAGCGGAACATCTAGCTGAAGCTGTAACTGTCCGTCAAGCGCTACTTCACGTTTCTCACTTCTGCCTTATATCCACAGGGTAGATGTGCCGAAATGCTTAACCATCCGAACCATTTTGGGTCGTCAAGGAATGCATGGCGCAGTCTATTAATAGAAAGCACTTCTGGTTAAGGGCTTTTATCACTTACGGTCGGGACGATTGAATCAGTAAAGTTCCACATAGGAAGCTCCAGTCAGTCTCCGTATCAACTGTACATTTTGATCCTAAATGTCTTCCATCAGGGTATAGAAGTTTTTGAAAAAAAAATTATGAGAGAAGGCCGGCCATATTTGAAGAGAGGTACTCGTCTTTTGCAAACCGTCGAAAGATTTCCGTGTGATTTACCTTGCTGACTGTTTGCGATTCTGCGATAGGAGCGTACCATACTGGAGCAATTCTCACATATTTTCAGAATTTTTGTAATTTTAGGTCCGGGGTCGTCACATATACGAGGCGTCGAAATTTCGAGAAACTTTACGTAGACGCGAAACAACGTGAGCGGCTCGAACGGCAACGAAGGCAGGCCGGTAAGATAAGTACTTAATAGACTTATCAACAGAATAAAATACTAGGCCTTTCTACATTAAGTGAGACTCATCTAGTTCAGTTTAAGCGTCGAACCAGAGGCGGGTATAGCTTGAGGCTTTGAAAAGTTTTTGGTCAGTGGAGGTAAATGACTTTTAGGAAACGAAATTGCTTAGCCAATGCGAAAATCAGTGTGCATTGGGTCCACCCTTGAATATTTTCACCTTGTTCCTTTACTTTTGTTGCTTTATCTTTCTTCTTCAAGGCGACTGTTTAAAAACTGAACAAAAACAGCAACAATCAGCAAAGTTAATTGGATAACAACTACAGCAACAACAAACAGAATCGGCTGAATTTGTCCTGAGACGTTTTCGAACCATTCCGTCTCCAATCATATATTCTTACTTGCATTTTTAGCTGCTTCAGCGATTTAGATTTTAGGTTATCCAGTACTCATACAGCTTCAAATTTTAATTCCTGATGTAAACTTCCGAAGCAAGTACATTAGTTCCACATATCGGATGGCATGGTGGAGTGAGGGCTTTCAGAAGTCTCCCAAGTCAACAAATTCCCAACGAATTTTAAGAAGTCTTTTTTGCTGGAGAAGAAAAAAAACCAGTGGCTATCTGCGCAATAACAGCGCCACATGCTACTGCACCCTCTCCACCCCATTTCCTTGATATCTCATAAGGAGAGAGGGAGTAAATATATGGAGATAGTGGACATTTATGCGAATATAACTATCTATATGGCCATTGAAAGTGTGGAACCAGTCGAGAATTACATATCTATCACATATAGTCGGTGCAGAAGTGGCTTGATCTTGGAAACCTTATGAGTACCAGTGCAACACCTTCACCCATCAAGCTAGCTCTACTCATATGGAGTAACTTGAGTCTCCGTTATTTTTCGAAGCGATCTTTCTGTCAAATTCGTGTGATTCTCATTAAGAATCGTCTGATTTGTTGATTTCAGCTTTGTCACGAACCCCACTACCGGTACCAGGACGAGTTTCGCGTAACAGTCGTGAAAGTGAGCTAATGCGATCATCCAGAGAGGCTACAGAAAGTTTACGGGCGGATCGCAAGAACTCCTATTGATTCGTCGCTTACTTCCAAATCCCTCGCAGTAATTATTCGAAATTTTCAGTCCATACGGGCTCTACCTCATCACTCATTTTAGACGGTTATTCATGTGCTTGTGTTGTACAAAACGTTAACAGCTTTTTCCTTTTTCTTGCACAGAATTCAGAAACTCAAAGACCCCCACCCCCACTATGTTCCCTTTGTTTACTGTTATGTTTATCGATTGACTAGTCAGTTTTAATTGTATATACCACAAGAGCAGGGTGATACAATGTGCCGTTTGACAATTCTATGTGATCATTCGTTCAGGTAGCACAATTTGTACGTAACCAGATGAGCATGTGCCAAGCAACGTTGAAGTGTTTCCAAAAGAGAAATGATAAATGTTTTCGGGTTTTATTCGTTGTAGATAGAGCGGGTATGTAGTCCCTCTTCTATTCTGCGGCTACCGAAACTTGAGCCGTTTTGTTTGGATTTGGCACTTTGAGAGCTACGGATATCAGGCCAAGTTGGAGTTCTCCAGTGGTCCTCAAACCTGCGCTGCAACGCTTCTTACCAGAAATTTACAACTAAATAAGGTCTATATCAGATCAATCCTCCACAAACCATCAGACGTTGTAATTAAATCCCCATAAATACTGTAAATCCTACTTTCCCATCTTTTTCCTTTTCTTAGACCTCGCTTCCGTCTTTCGTCCCGATCGCTTTGTCAGTTTTTTCCATTTTTTCATATCTCAAGACAGTGCGCGGTGAGCCTTCAGGCGGAGAAGTATGATACTTGACAACTGTCTCAATCAAACAATGTAGCGTACTCCTACTTATTTCCCCTAGGGTTTTCAATTGAAGCAAGAGATACTTGGTGGTTCCCCTCATCAAAAGGGTACGTAGCCCGGAACGAGGATGTGTAGCAGAGGAGCAGAAATGATGGCTCAGTGCGAAGTGATTCGCGAAGGGCGTAAAAAAATTCAGATGGGGCAATGCACTTGCTTTTGCAGCTGCTTCCAGCTCCAAGCTGAATTTACATGGAGTTCTCGCCTTTTCCGGCTAGAACTGTTTGGGCAGGACTATGTATGATGTTAACGAAAGAGGTGGTCATCACCATCTTAAGCTTCTTCGAAACACTGCGGGTGTACTCATTTGGAGGTGGAAATGCCAGTGAGGGTGATCTAAGGAACTTCAAATCCCCAACCAATCTTCTTCTGAACAGAGCCAAAAGTCTTGTACACCTTTTCATCAACCAAAACTGAAGTTAGATTAATTCCAGTCTTTGAGCTGAATCCTTAGAATGCTCTTCTCCTTGTATGGAACGGAGCTCGCTCTTCGCGGCAAAAAGTTGTTTTACAGGTTATTCCTTAGCCCGAAAGATTGTCCAAAGCTTCTTTGCGTCGCTCTGTTCAGAAGAATTATCTCAAAATATTTAGTACTTCTGCCTGTCCTTAGTAAGCACAGTAGCGACGACTCTACCTCAAAAATTCTCAACAACCTCTGATTTTCCTCTTGTTGTTGGGTCTTTTATCACCTTCACCTTTGTTTTCTAGCGCTACTGCCCACTTTCTGAGATGACAAGTATTGGAACGTTATTCAACAATATAGAAGTGTTCATTGTGATCTGCGATGACTACCGTACCATGAAGTCGATCCAGTTAAAGGACCGGATGGTTATGCTCTACATGTTGTTCAAGAAATTTCCATCGGGCCTACATCCACGTCGTTACGGATCCGTGGAGTAGGTGTAGAGAGTACTCCCCCCAGTACGTGCAGTTATGTAACTTCTCCTCCCAAATTTTCGACCATCTTCATTCCCTGGAAAAGATGGGCTTTTTTCTAGATGGGTTTGGCCCATTGCTTTCAATACTGTTAAACTTCCTCTACATTTCATTATTGACTGATCAGTTTGGTCAGTTTTTGTGCCATTTCTCATAGCAATTAAGTGTTTTTGTTCTTTCTTTTACAGTCTCCATATGGCTCATGTTAACATTAAAGTCTTCATATGTCCCCATTGAGAGTAAACGATGTGTTTTCGGCGAATTCGAAAACCATGCAAACCATCGAAGTTACCTTTTTCCAAGCCCAATTGGGCCAAAGTCCACATTTTTCAATTGTTGTAATGCTGAAGTTGTCTAGACTTTCTGTTTGCTCATTCATCTGGACGTAAAGTGATTTTAAGTTTTTGCGGTCTGCCCCCGTCAAGCTATCCAGCAATTTTGTCCAGTAGCTCTACAACATGAGTCGTTTTTCTTGTTACGAGGTAACAAATTTACCTCCCCCCACCCGGAAATCCAGTTCAGTAAAAATAGAAATACAAATAAAGAATTAAGATAAAATAACATAAAAACTACAAAATACATGGAGTCATCTATTTCAGGGTATTGTAAAGTTTAATGTCTCTTTGATTCGCCTCCTGCAATGCTCGTTGTCAACAATTTCTTCACTTGTACTGCAGGGAATTTCCATCACAACTTCCACCTCGTCTTTTTTTAGTAATTTCGGTATGTCAGAAATTCAGTTTGTTTTCAAATAATCAATTGAGATGAGCAACTCTGAGTAGGTTAGCGACACTAAGCTTTCATCGGCAAACGTCTGGCGCTGAAAATGCAAGCTGTAATTTTATTAGTTCTGATTTATTATACTGATATTTTAGCTTTGATTTATTTAGCTACTCTAATATGAAACTGTTCGTTCCGATGGCTGCATTGGAGAATGTGCCAGCGGTCAGTTAAGATGCAAACCACTTCTCAACGCCGAAGTGAACGACTTCGATGAAAGCTACCCTGCCAGGTCAGCTCCGAGTTCTTCCTTGTACCGATCGGTGTCCAAAATACCTCTGTCAAAAGCAAATAATAATTAAAGAAGCAGTCACCGTTGCAACTCTTTCCTGAAGAAGAGGAAGAACTTTTTCCAAAAAAAAAATCTTGAAGGCAATCTTCAACATTATTAAGAAGCCACGAAATTTATTCCGTCATGACCACAGGTTCAAGAAGAGCGAAAGAATCCTATCAGATTGGCATTTATTTTTGGCTGCGAACTTTTTCTAAGTGCATCAAACAATAATCTTGAATGGTACCAACCTGTTTTTTAAGGTGATTTATATTTGTAGATAGGCAGCTGAATATTTCCTGACCAACATATAACTGGATTTTTATATGAGATAAATGAAGGTGATTATATTCTTCCCAAAATATTATGCGCAAAAGGTTAGCTGCTGACCGAGTATTCTAGTTTCCTTACAAGTTTTCTAGAACTTACTGAAACGATTACCCAATCTCCGCAAGATATTATCCATTATTACTACCTAGTTCTGATCTATTACTTTCGCTTCTATAGATCTCTGATACGTTTTCTAGCCAAGACAACCTTCAAGTTTCTATTTATAAACTTCTGGATAATCTTCCGACTGAGATTTATGATTGATTATCAGCAATCAAAGGAAATAACACTGAAAACAGATCTATGTCATGTGCTGATAAAAATGATGAGAAAGTAAAAAATGCAGGAAAAAACCAAACAAAAAACTGATTGTGGGAGAAACTGGAATGTCAGGGTGCGATGTGTTGGGAGAATGTGTGAGTTCGATTCACTTGAAAAAGGTCACCTCTCCTCATTTTTTCGGTGGTTCGGTCGGAGTTCTTAACGACGGTCACGTGGACACTTCAGGTGTCAAGGAGATTCTCAGCTACGTTGATTCGGAGAATTCGGAACGTCATTCTTCCCGCTAACAAAGCGAAAAATCGTCACGAAGTGCAATTTCATTGAAAATGTCATTTTGATGATTTTCATCGTCCACTATGTTGAGCATCAGAATCCATTTCTAAAAAATCAACCATTCAATGCGACTAACTGTTGAAATCGTCAGATCAAGCGGGAGGTTGTTGTTCAAGCGCAAAATTATCGGCTTAGTCCCGTTTTCAATTCTACGAGAACATGGATGTAGTTAGGAGAGTAATGAGTACCAGTAACTTCTATCAAAATCCCAGTGAAAGGGAAGAGATGCCTCAGGTAGCCTAGGTAGCTTTCGTGGATGATGTGCTCTTCGTTTGTGCTTACAAAAGACAGAAATTCGCAGTAGAAAAGCTGTTCCAGTAGGGAGTTAGTGAGCAAAAAGACCATCAATTCCTGGCTGGTGTTGAAGTAATCAAGGAACTTCACGGTCCTACACCGGTCAATTATTTTTGGCATTGTCGTGGCGGAAAACAGCTCAGAAACTGTGCAATAGCGGCTCAAGGTCTGTCTGGAACGCCCACTATAGTCAGTACAGCCCACTCTGATGTCGTTGTTATTTATGATTTTTTGAATCGTGAATGATTAGAGATTCCCTGATTGATTTTCTAGAATGAAATGATATCAATTTATGTGTTTACATTTTACTGAATCTCTAAAGTCAGTCATGAAAAGTGGACTACTCANTCTGGAATGGTCACCGCAGGAGGTAGGTTGATATTGATGTTGTGCTCTTTAGGTCTCAGATCTCACTATGTTCCATGCCACGAATTCAGATGGGTTATACTTTCAGTGCGGTATTGGACTTTGCTTTTGACAACGTTTCCGTATAAGTCTCGAAGTCTGCGGTGCTTACACGGATCTGGCGAGAGCAGTGTATCAGTCGAAGTGACGGTAATTGCTCTTTGGTTTCAAGCAATTTAAATTCCTTTGATTTTTTCTACTCGCACTCACTATCTAGGAGACTAGAAATTCTTTCCACCGACGTTGAGCAATCCAAGTCTCGTATTCTGCTCTCCGTGGTTACGGAAAAGACTGTTTTTGTTCGACGCACAATTTGATACTCCGAACCGCTGTCAGTTATTTCAACCCATCCCCCTTTCCTTCCTCTTCCTCATTTCAATTTCTCAATGAATACGGATGTACAAATTCCATCCCGAGGAGTAGGATGGGGTTCGAGCGGGGTGCGAGTCGACCACATGCTCTCTTAGCACTTAACTCATAGATCATTACCGGGATCCCTCAATCCAACGCAGTGATTTGCTTATCTCTGCTATCATTCTATTGTTATCTCAGCTAGTTCTTCCATTATTCATGAAGTCACTAAACAAACCGATGGACTGAAAAATAGGCTGGTACATGAGTAACTCTTTTATAAAGAAGAATGATGATACGAAAGCCGATGGAGTCGGTAGACCAGTGGTGAGGCCATGGGAGTCGCTGGCCGACGTAGGTGCCGGCGTACGGTGCTTTCCCAGTAGAACCGCAACGCCTGTCCTGCGAGGGGTGTGGTGCAGTAGGAACGAATTTGTCGCGTCGCGGCAAGAGGGACGCCGCGCGCAAAGGAAGCGGTAGAACGCAGCAGCAAGTAAGAAATACAGGAATAAAAGTACTAGCAGTAGAATCATGCCAAAAATAATAATCGCATAGCGATTAAGCTGAATGAAGAACACTAGAACTGTTATAACGAGGCAAGTAATCCGCGACAGCCGCGTGCGGCGGATCGATTACACAAAACCGTTCCTTCTACCCGTCTCCTGTCCTACCAGGCTTCCTATGATGTCCAACGCGAGGCGCAACTGGTTGATATCTCGAGCTCGAGACGCCGAATCCGAGACAAACAGTTACCTTGAACTTGGCTCTTTTCATGCGCTTTCCGTTTCTGTAAGTGCCGGTGGGCGATTGTTCCTGGTGAGGAGTGCACGCGTTTCAGCTAGCTTACTCATTGATGACATGTCGCTGTGGTATATCAGAGAGTGTTGTTTTTCAAATCATAAGTAGTACCATATTTGCAATTCCGATCTAGCGATTAATCTACGGTGGTTACTCTAATTCACCGATTACCCACTTGCTGTTAAATGTACTGTTGCAATATTCAGGATAACTCGTGTACCTACTATGAGGTGAATAGTTGTAGCGACCCACAGATGTTTCAGGATAGCTTAACAGTGGAGAATCCATCCGGGGTAAGTTTCCCAACTAAAACTTCCATAGTTCTTTTCATGGACAAAAAGGGCTAGGAAAGTGAAGGGCGTGTCATGAAAGACTATCAGTCAGTTAGGAACAGTAAAATCACAATTAAAATCAAATGAAATGGTTAAAAGTATAGGATGTTTCAGTTCAGCGAAGCATGTGGAGTGTTCAAAAACAGCAGTTTCGAGAACATTGCAGCTTGTTTCTGCAGCGATGATGACTGCAATGGAGAACAGACGAAGGTTTGCTTTACAAGTTTGTTTTCGGAAGGCAAGCTTGCCCATGGTTCCATGAACAATTATTCATATGAGCGCTTGATTAAGGATAAACTAGGGCCAAAACACAACTAAATGTGGAATTGGTTTGCAAATCACCTACGGTGACAAACTTTAGCCTAGAAGAGGCGAATCGTGTCCTAATTGCTAGCAAAGGCTCAGAGAGCCCACAAGCAGGGTTGAAGTTTTTTATTAGCGCCCACTGCTGCCAAGCACGCCCATTGATGGACGTGCAAGCCAGGGTCACGTCGCGGAATGGACCGCGTTGTGAACCTAGGAATCTTGATTTGATTCCTATGCACTTTGTATAGTGCTGAAAATGCGGGCTTATCAGAGTGGAGTTCCCACAACCTCCGCATTACTGATGATGATTCCCCTGCTGGTAATATTTGGCTTGAATTCTTTCTTTTCTGAAATGCTTGATAATATCAACCCTAGTCGAGCCTTTAACATTGCTATTGTTCACTTTCGGCTCAGGGTTTAGGGTACTACACGCAAGATTTTACTCGAAAAAAAAACTCTTCCAGACATTCATTGACAACAGTATACGCCTTCCAACTCCTCTCCCGGATACTACTTCATGGAGTTTTGTGCCAATATCGAATAAAACAAAAGAGGTTTTACAATGTTTCCGGAAAAACATGTATCCCCCTGGAGCGAGTCCAGTGAAAGAAAGCAAAGCGGATGAATCAAGGTACGTTCTCCTTCCACGACGTTTGCTGATAAGTAACTTTACTCGCCTCATCGTTCGAATAGCTCACTACCGTTCTGACCGTGGCCTTCTTTGAGCGATTGAGCGTAATCAATCGATAGTCCATCCCTACCGTATAGCAATGCAGTTAGATAAGTTCGATAATTGCTATATGTTTTGGCAAGTCACTATCATTGACCATATGAATGTACGTCAGCAATCGCGGAGCTCTGAACAATGTTATCGCTATGTAATCCGCTATACATTCGTTTGGACCCAGACACTGTTATATCAGTGACTGCTTCCACATTGGCCCCGCTCATACTTTGTGCAAGCGAACGGGCGAAAGACCTCTTCGTCGAGAATAATCGATATTCCATGCATCTATGACATGTGCTTAGGCTTTACGCTCCGTCCCAGTCTATGTAATAGAGTGAAAACTAAGAGCTGTAATAAAACAAAGAGTAGGACAACAAAGAAAGAGAACTCGAATAGAAGTATGGAAATTCGAAGGGAACAGAGTCGATCGGGAAAAGTTTAATGAAGAATGCAATTACTAAGCGATCACTGTGAAAACTTTTATTATATAGTTGATGAACGAAAAAGAATGGTAAGCAGAACAGGCACTTCGGAACGCCCTCAAGTCGTTCGATTTTGGTATGGGTAATCGGCCTACGGGATATCGATTGGTGTCGAGGCAAACGCCGGCCTTCGCCTATCGAAGTATGAACACAGTTGCTTTGATGGAGCCTTCATCTATAGCAGTAATTCTGACTTGTAAAAGACGAATCAGACTGGAAGTTTCTGCACTGGAGTAATCAGAGGCTATAATTTTTCACTGGATAGAACCTCACCATAGGGACCGTGTCAAGGTGTCGACTCTCAGTAGAAGTTTCTGGATTATTTTGAAAATGGTATAGAAATTTGGTCTAATCAAGGCCAAAAAATTGATGCCGTTGAAATTGTAGAGGGAGGTAATCCAGATAGAAGTAAATACCATAATCTAATGCAACTATGAGCATATTTCTCGAAAAAACGAGGGCTCTAAGTCGTTCCCACGAAAAAAATAAGAGGTCTTTAATTTTGGGGACAGTTCTGCATATCCCATCAAGCCGGTTTTTGAAAATGACACCTGGACTTGCGCGTATTTGACCGATTTTTGATTTTTTTTTTNTTTTTTTTTCCGTCTCGAACGAGTTTGATCATCAACATTCTCGTATTTCGACTACTCCAAGTAAACTAATAGCAACGCTTCGTCTCAAATATTCTTCCAATATTTCTAAATGAAGGGTGTTCTTCAGTAACTTGATGGAATGGATAGCCATATGTGTTGCGGTGGTGATGGTAATATGCTGTATTGCCCCAGTTGCCTACTATTATGTAGCAGAAACTCGAAGGGTAAGGTATTTTTCGTATTTAAAAAATAGATTTGTGATGACTTCTGGCGAAATTGAGTAGCCCTAAAGATCACTTCCGTTTCCGGAAAGCTCCATTTAAGGCCCGACAACGGAAAGCGCAAGAAGCCGCCAAACCATTAAAAACATCAGGATCTATTTCTTCACCGGCTACCAGTCAAGCCACTCAACTATCAAAAACATCAAAAGGAACTGTTTCTTCATCGCTTGCCAGTCAAGCCACCCAACTATCAAAAACATCAAAAGCATCCTTTACTTCACCGGCTGCCAGTCTGTCAAGCTCTATGAAGAAGTCTGTATCTGAGCCTGTTCCGAAAAAGAAAGATGGTTGAATCTCGAAGGATTCACGAGGAAAGCTATGATCCTCTATGTCAATCAGTTGAAATATTCTTCAAAACTTTGAAACGCTACATTTCTAACAACAACGTTTTATGGTGGTCAACGCAGTAATAAAGTTCTTTTATGAAGCTAAAGTTGATCTCATACGGTTTTCAAAGTCCTATGTGTCGCTGGTTATACCGATCAGTGTAGTATTTACTAAGGTTATCGAGTTAAGAGTTGCGTCTTCAATAAATTGTATCGATTGTACGCGCGTAAAGTCAGAGGTTATCGGAAGTCTTCGACATGGACCATAACCCTCAGTATTTTTTGGGTCAACTTAGAATGCGCCACGTATGTACTTAACTGTTCTGAAGTTGCTTACTTGAAGGCCTGTATAGCAGCTATAGGCTTGATACTTATCTGATGCCCATAGAAATAACTGGACGGATAGGGAAAGAAATAGGTGTTTTACCTATCACAGTCTGTAGGGTTTGTTCACCCAACAAACTATCCGATCCTTCAGGAAATTCGTGGAAGAACAACGAAGTATGGTTTCCCCCATGGTCGTACGGCAGTCGTTCGCTGGTCTTATACATACAGCACGAGAATGAGCTCACTTGGAAGTCTGGTGGGGGGAAGTCTCCCTCATAACGAGGGACAATTCTATCTAATAAACTCCCAACGTTGCTGAACTCTTTTGAGATGTATGAAACCCTTGTACTTTCCTATGAAACGCCAGTAACTTTCGGAAAGGTCCATAATTTGCCCTCAACCTTACCCCCGTCCCTCCATCCGAACCGGTCTCTTCCGCAAGTGCTAGTTACTCAGAAATTGTATGTTCCGCTTAGATTTGGCAAGGACTGATTCCCAGACCGAATACGAACTGCTATCGAATCAAGAGATCATGCCCTCCTAACATTATCCACCAACCCCTCCACCTTGTCAAGTCAGTCTGGTTAGCTGATGTAACATCTGTCTGGTATGATAAAAACACGGGGTTTCTAGTGCTTTGTATTGCTGCGCTTCTACCGAGTAGGAACCGCTTTATTTGATCAATGTTTCGAACAAAACACCTCCTTGAGAGTCGTGAAAGAGGAGTTGAAACTCTGTAGCGAACCAGGTCAAGTGCCCTAACACTCTCGACCGGTTGCAACACTTCCCGGATCCTTGAACAGGGATGTTTCCAGCCACGTAATTCACACTTGCACCTTCACAAGGAGCTTGAAAGTGGTTTAGTTCAGGAGCGCTCGGGCGGTTAGGCAAAAGATCGAGTTCGAACCACTTTTATGTCCTTGAAGACGACAATTTACTTGAAAGGTCGGGCAAGTAAAGCGAATCTTTCACAGCGATTTCATAAGCACAGCAATTCTCAGTTTCCAGGAAATTGAAATGAAATTCATTAGCTGCTTCTAGGCCTCTTTACAAGTTTAGCAAACCCTTGTAATGTCATGTATCGTTACAAATGATCGCAGCGTTCGGAGTGCAGTCCGATGGCATGGCGCATCATCGCAAAGGACAAATGGAGGGTTCCGACTTTCCTCCTGGAAATCTTTTTCTCTTTCCGAGTTGTGATCGAGTAAGGTTTCATGGAGCCCAATAGCTCCCCCACCCCCTTTTCAAAGAGTTTTTTGATGGCTTTTTTCAGCACCACAAAAAAAACAATAACATCGCGCAAAAGCGCAACCCTCCAAAGAGAAGTCGTATATCCCGAAAGAAGGAACCCGAAAACAGAAATCGTCTATTTGGAGGTTCTACACCGTTAAAAACCATTCTGGAATATGGGCTGTGTCCCCTCCCTTCTTTTCTTTGGTTATTCATGAAATGCCTTTTCAAAAGCAAGATTACCCTTCCTATCAATCACGAGGCTTCCGTCTTCACACAGAAGAAACCTCCTACTACGTTTCCCTCTTTCTCCACTAAACACTTATTCTGTGGGAAGAATTCACCAAAGTACCTTAAATGGATTAATCGTAGCCATTATTAAGCGCGCCCACGTCGCTTGTTTGCTCAACACGAACTTGACGCGAGGCCTTGTGTGGGCGCCCACGTAGGACTGCCCGAGCGGATGTTCAGCGAAGAACGGCAATCGCGTGACCCCGAGAGCATGCAGGTTGTAGTTCGCGTAGTACTATGGGATCCCCGCAACAACTGCGATATTTCGCTGCGTAACGTGGCATGTGCTACACATCGGATACTCAGCCATACGATGAACATTTGGTGCAGCCATTATCGATCGGTCGCGGGAGGTGGCTGCCGGCTTGAGGTCCGTTCACGCCCTGTCGTCGTCGTCGTCGTCGTCGCCATCACCCATCATCGTCGTCGTCATCCCAAATGAGTAAGACTGAGTGAGTTTCAGCAGAGTTGACACCGATTCGAAGTGTTCGTCCGGGCGGCGCGTTTCCCGTGAAGTGTTTGCTTAGCGGAGTCGTCGCGCGCGAGCGTAGTCCCCTCGACCCCTTCATACCATCCCAGTTACGGTTCTTCAACGGCGTCACCCCCGTCCTCATGTCCGAACTGTCTCAGCCGATGTTTCCCAGATCTCAGATCTATCATGGCGGGTGGGTCAGGCGTTGTTCATGCACATTTATCTCAGTTTTTGATCGCTGTTGCGTTTGCGTTTAAACTTTGCAAATACTTCTCGATTAATTTATTCCACGATAAATCAGTCACGGAAAAAGCTGTGTATCCTATCAGTACTTACTTAATAATTCAGTAGGCAGAGGGGTTGGTTTAAAGTTGATTACTTTAATTTTGTTTGCAAATAATGTGATATTACCGTTGATAAAAATTGAATTTCATTATACATATCATTGATGACAACATGTAATTCACTGACCCCGTAACTAGACTTCTGTAACTACTTTTACAAGCTCATAAAACTCATAAATAGCAGTTGGCGGGTCATAATTCTGCAAGTGTCCGTTTTTAACCCATTTTTCCCGTTTCCTGCGTTTACGTTTGTTCTTTTTCGAATTCCTTTGATAAATAGTACATAAATAACTACAATTCCATGTTTTCTGAAAATATCAGTCTAACCACTAGCGAGCTCGCATTTATCCGTGCTATTTCCTCAGAAAGAAAAAAAAATCGTCAGAAGCCTCACGATATTACTATTCGAAGTTATGATCTTTCAGTTATAAGGTTTTACAGCTATATTTGTTGAACACACTTTGATCAGAACACTTATTGCACATATTTGAAAACTATGGGTTCACCGAATTGAATGTTCCATGAAGCAGTGTCACTAAAAAGCGTTATTTCGTTGTTATTTGGATCTTTTTTATCAGCTATAAATTGTTTCATTCCTTTTTGCTAATATGTGTAGCTATTTCCATATGGGTATAAGCTTTAGAGCCTGAGAATATTACTAACAATAGTTTAGAAGTTAGTTCCAGACAGGAACTCTGATTTTCTGGAGTATAATTATACTGAGTATCATGTCCGGGCCTGCACCACTGGTAGTCTTTAGACAGTGGATGGGGTTTTTTGTGCCCTTGAACAGGGACTTGTTTTCATTATTTCATTACCTTTATCGCCAACCCCTGGACTCTTGTTAAGGGGAGGTTGAAGATGTCTGTATTGCTCTAACCTGGATATGAAGTGGAGGACTTTTCGAGACTTTACCCTTCCTTCTTGAGGATAAACGCTTCCATCCTACAATTTTACCTCATGGAATTCGTTTATGATCTAGGAATTTAGCATGATATCACTGTAATTGATATTATAAAAGCTAAGTGTAAAGCTTAAGTGTATAACAAATCATAGCTACCTTCATGTGATTAGAGGTACCAAATTTACAGAAAAAAAAATTGAGATGGAAAATGTTCGAAAGGTCGAAAGGGAAAAAAATCGGAAAAAGCTTCTATTTATCATTTGGAATGCATTTTATTCAGACAGGAACATCCTTCCTGAAGATCTTGCGGGATTCAAAAGAATACTGTCTGAGATGTCATGTCACGTCATCTTCTCACTAACCTACCTATGTCATGAAAAACGCATTGAGGAATATCGGCTTGTAATTTGAGAAGGGGACACGGTTCGCTTGCTGCTCTCTCATCCCGCTTTCACTTTGATACACCATGTGGGTGTGAAAGAAATTTGTAATGAAGCCCGTCAACGATGAATATGAATATTGATTTGGGTCTGTTCGTTAGCACGAAAAGAGTCGTTAGAGTTATTGAGAAGTAAAGCTCTTATCAGAATCATGTAGTCTAGAAAGGCTAAGCCGGGTTATCTAAAAAAAATCCATTGAGGTCTCCGGTCACCAGACCCCACTAGGTATACTTTTTGATCGATTGTTAAGTAACTTAATGGATTTAAATAGCCCACACCGCCAAATGGTTTTGGTTGATTTTTATTTTGCAGTGTCTCAACGAATTCTTGCAAAATGCAATTTGCATGTAGAAATCTGTGCAACTGCTAGTGTGTAAAGAGAAAAATAAACGGCCAGTGGTGTATAATGGTAGACCAAGGGTGTTTTCGAGGAACTGGGCGGTTTTTTAATTAACTACGAGCCTCCATTTCTCGTGCCCGTTTAAACAACGGACCTAAAGGACTGGGCCTCTGATTTACAGTGGTGTTGAGGCTTGCCAAATTGTAGTTGGGGGTCTATGGTTGCGCCAGAAACCAGAGTTTTGACATTTTCGATTGTTGATTCTCCTCAAATCTTCATTTTTCAGTTATTACTCAGAGGAGAAGACATTCAGTGCGACACCGTACACGAAACCTACCAGAGCTCCGCCGATCTCACAGACAAAATTAAATGCAAGAGGGTTAAAGGTAAGGAACACTGATTATTTTGTGGTCTTTTTGTGGTCACAGCATTTCCTACCCATCTTCTAACACCAATTTTGTGAAGCTAAATTTTGGTGCACAGTGGCTTGCATCGATGATTGCTTAATGGTGTCGTGCCTTTCCTACTACATTCTTTACCAATGTAACGTTCACAATCACAACTGATCATTTGTGTTGTTATAGGATCTCGATGACCATGATATCGACGGCTTACTCTCCAACTTGAGCATTGAAGAACTAGAAGACCTCAACGATGATTTCGACCCCGATGTTAGTTTGGTTTGATTTTATTGAGCAATTTTTCTCAAGGCAATTTCATTCAATGCCTTATACACATGTTACGCAAGAACAGTCGACTTTATTTGTTCGACTGGATGGCAACTGTCGTCATATTTTTTGTTAGATCGACGTTCTAGTCGGGGAAACCCTCGGAGGAGGGAAAATGCGTCAGCTTGCTGGTGCTAAGCTTGTTGCATTTGACACTTTTATTGGAGGTATGCCAGAAGAATTACCGAATGTTCAGGGAAGAGGGGATATCAAGTATCGTTGTTGACTTCCTGAACTCAGGAACTGTCACAGGAAAGGAGATGAGGAAAGTGCCTCTCATATTCATCCTTAACAAAGTGGATGTTTAGTGCTCCAACCAGGTGAAATAAACTTCAATACTTCGAAGATGAAAATATGAGTAACTTATCGTCAGAGTGAGACGGATTATGGGAGTATGTGAGAGATCCCCTCAATTGCCTTCTTTTCTTCTCTTCTCCATCGCCTTCTCGAAAGCATGTCTAGCAGATGATGAAGAAGCGGCATCAAAAACTTAAGTTGTGCTACGCAGTTTTTCTAGTTCTATGGAAAGTTTGCTGGCTTGTCTGGTAATCTGCAATGCAATGCGGAACTTGAACAACTTTGAACAGCTGATCGCATAATGATGATGCTCATGCCTCACGTGTTTACCAACGAAGTGTGAATCCAAGCAGAAGTCTACCTATCATCAATCATGAGCCCGTTTATTTTCTTTCAGTGTTAGAGGGAAATGAGAAAGACTCACTAAGGATGACCTTTGAAGGACAGAGATACGAAAAAATGACATTGAGGGTAACGCTTCTGAGTGGTAGCTTTCCGACTGCTCATAAGTGGCTGGTCTTTAGAAAAAAAAGTGCAAGTATGCGTTCAGAATTGGGATTCTTGGAAGGACCAGACTGAGAGTGGGTAAGTATCGTTTCATAACAGCTTCCACCTAGTGGCAATGGAAAAAACATTGCCTTATTAGGGTCATGAAGAAGGGAAGCCTCACAGCAACAAGACTTTGAATAAGAGCTTTGTGAAGCGATAGAACACATGTTAACAGGGGGCCCATCCTAAAGACGTTCACAATAGGAAAAACGGCTTTTTACCTCCTGACTGCTTGGAATGTGGGAAGAAAAACGCTTATGGAGAAGATGTCGGAAACATTTTTGCACTCCCAGAGCGTGGTGCTGCTAAACTGTACATTTTTTTGAACTCTTTACACTAAGCTTGGTGGAGGGCTGCGAAATTGGCAGATTCATCACTTCAGAGATAAATTTTCTCCAACGACCGGTTCATTGTCCGAATCCCGTTCTGAAGGAATACACTAGTGGTGGAAGATCCTCAAATGCAAAATTCGAGCTAAAGGCAATAAGTCAAGCCCATGTTTTTGGGTCAATCCGATACAAAAGTTGTTGCTTCGAAAGGCAGATGGAGTACGCGTGAAACGAAGAATGCCAAAATGATAATAAAATAGATCAAAATAATTTTGAATTCTGAAAAAGAGCGAAGGTGATTCTGCTAAAAGGCGAAGGGAGCACTCCATAGATTCATGGTGTCCGCAGGGTATATACGGTTTTTTCAACACTTTACATTGATACTTTGTGTTGGCTGTAATGCTGGGGCGTTTATTACTTCGGCGATATTTTGAGGAGTCGATGCAGTACCTAAACCTCCTTTTTTCAAAAACACTTTGATCGTGTTTTCGGAGGAAGCATTAATCACTCCCTTTAACGAACATCAAAGTAAATTATTTTCTGTGAAAAAGTGAAAAAGATCATATGGGCGGCTGCATTCAAATGCACCAGGCTGTATTGATCATTTGGGATGAACTCGATTATATTCTAGCATGTTGTCTTTTCGCGGTCCGCTTTTTGATGTAAGATTTGTCAATGATTATCTATTTACCTTTGCAAACGCGCTGAATTATTGACATATACATCCAAGGGGTCAAATTGAACTCCAAAAATGGAAAATAACACACTTGTTAAGCTATTTCGAAAGTTTTTTTTTTGGTTTGACTTCGCAGTTTTTCTGTGATTTTGATTCGTAATCAGTTTTTTTTTTTTTTTTTTTTGAGTGTGAATAATGCATCAAATATCCCTCTTGCTCTGAATGATTCATCGTTTTTCAACGTTCCTAATGTGTGTAGATTCTGTCGACATGTGTGTAATGTTTTCTTTTCAATCGATTGCATTGCGAAGTTTGCTGAGCGCGATTTGAATCGAGATATGTAAACATTGTGTGTGCCTATCATAGTCGCATTCAGGTTTGCACACCTTTGTGAGCCCCGAAAAGGAAATGTTCAGCTCTCGTAATGTCATGACTGGCTACGCTTCCACCCACTAAATCGGCACTTTGAGTCATCCACAAAATCACTGATCAGAGTTCTGTTTGCTGTTGGTTATGTTATAGTTTCCCACAGAAGTCGCGCGAGGGAATGAGGAAGGCTGAAGAATGTGAAGAGGTTTGTTTCGAATGGAAATCAGGTCGCTTCTGTTTACTTTACCCATTCGAGGCCCCTCATGTAATAGATTGCTTAGGAAAGGCGAGGGGTCATGGGTCTTTGTGTGAACAAAAGCTCAAAATAGATGAAATTCAAATAGACTTCACGGAAAAGATCGACCTGGAGTTCTTTGAGCACATTTGTTTAAGAGCAGGCCTTTGAAAAAAGAATGAGGACGATGGATAATGGTAATTGTTATTACATGCTTCGCTTATGTACAAATCCACTCCTACGACTCCTTTTTTTCCAATACCATAGTTTGTTGTTGATTTCAATATGGTTCTAAAAACTTCTTATGTAGTCGTTCAGTCAAGAGTCTTTTGGGCAATCCGTTTCCCAATTAGTGGTGTAGTCAAGGTTATGCATCTAAGGTGTCGAGAATGTGGGTTTCACAGTGCAATGTGTTGCGTTGGGCTCACGTGAAAGGTGGGTGGTTTTATCGGGTTTCCAATCTACTGGTACCAACGACAATTTTTGAACTTGTTTCAGGTTCGCATATTCTTTCTCTAGTTTTTTGAGAAAACAACTAGTCCAGTTTGACTTCATAGTTTCCATATACAAGTGATGTGTTTACGGAAAGTGATGCTACTATTTTCCTTCTTTATCTTCTTGGGCAATGATCGAACTACTTAGAATTCATGGGCCCAGAGTTTACTATGAAGTGCCAGATTAGATCATAATGATTGTTGGATTCGTACTACCCCAATTTCTTGTATCCCAGATTAGAAGAAAAGAACGAGCGGTAGACACTGAATTATAGAGGATTTGATTTGATTAATTACCCGAACGGGAATGACAAAAAACATGTCTTTTAACAAAATCTTTGTCGCGGTTAGTCAATAACGGTTGTTTGCTGCGAATAGTTCATAGGTGGGATCTGGAGAATCCCTGAAGAAACTGGAACAATTCAAGTGGGTCTTGTGATGTTGCTGGGACAAAACCGGAGCGGTAGACTTCAACAAATCAGTATGAAGGGGTTGTTATGGAGCAGAGTTGAAGAAAGATCAAAAAGCAAAGCCGTGTTTTGTTCAATTGTATGCTAGAGTGGGTTCCAAGAATTTTGTTTAAACCCGTAATTATTTCGAATGATGCAAATGCAAGTAGAAAGCTCAGCAGCTCTGGAAAGCAATAAAGTGTATAAAAATTGTTCTGAAAATATTGCGCAAGTAGCACTTGTTTGCTTTGGTTTTTGGTTTTTGAGAATGAAGGAATAAGAAGAAAGGAGGTAAAATCGATGAGAATTGGAAAAGTATATGAATAAATGGTAAAAGAAGAATCGTACACTTGAAAGCAATCTACAATGCTGAGCTCTCTATAGCAGATTTGGAGTTCAAGAAAGGGAAAACCGTCACCAACGAACCTGCATCTAATCGTCCCTGGTCTGCTACATTAGCCTAGAACTGCTTCATTGGGTTACAATATGAAGTACTTTGTTACTCCTAGCTATCGATAATGGCTGGTCTGGAAAAGTTTATAAATAACTCAATTGTGTAAAAACTACTGCACCAAAATGTGGGCATTTGTGAAAGGAAGTGCTTTTCATCAGGCTAAATGCATTAATTATGTTTTTATTTTTGATTTATGTTTTTCATTTTTCTTTAGATGTGCTAGTGAAAGTGGTCATTTCTGATAAGAAGTAAGTTTAACACGAAATGTAATCGATATAGACATAACTTTTTTAAGAATGGCAATATTTGAGAATGGAGAAGATACAAAAGGTTGATGGAGTTCTTTTGGAGAAAGCGAAACTTCGCTTATGCGAATATGAATGAGTAATGCAGTATCATGTGTTGATGACTCGACATGACATCAATTTCCAGCCTTGCGATTGCTTTCTGCTAAACTGTGCTTTTCGGGCTTTTAGACTTAATAATTTTCCGTTCAGAACACCATGCTGCCTCCATCACAGCGTTGCAAAGACCAAACGACGAAAGCCCCAACCGGACCGTTCAAGAGAGATCATCTTTTGAAGTATTTAGAAGAGCAGGCGAAAAATGAAAAGGACTGGGAAGATGTGGTACCGTTTTCGCTTGGAACGAAACGCGGTATGTCCTGATAACCGGGTTTGTATTCGAATTTTATAGTGTACTGTCGGAATTTCTGAGATTGTAGGCAAAGTTTGGGAAGGCGATAGTGGTCGTGAATCCGCTGATGATGGCACGACGTCGGAAGAACATCCAGCGTCAAGGATCGCTCGAATGGAGATGCCGATAGAACTAGATTTGGATGATGACGATGATCTTGATGAAGCCCTGGATGGCGCTCCTGAACGAGATCTCGTAGATCTGGCCGGAATCCTAGGTACATTTTTTTGCAAAAATTTTCGGAAGAAAAGTTTCTGAGTAGGTTTATTTAGGTATGCATAACATTCTGAATCAACCGCAATACTATAATGCGCTGAAAGGGAAGCAACAAGATGATAGCACGGGTACAACGTTTGCGACTATTATCCGGGCATATGAACCGAAAGAGCTTCCAGATGAACCCGAGAACGATACCAATGTTGATGAGTGCATCAAGTGAGTTGAACGAATTTCATCATTTGTCGTTGAGTTAGTTTTCGTTAAGTGAATTGTTACCTTTTCTTTTTATATGTTAATTGAACTTTCACTTTTAAGATGTAATTCCTTTCATATTAAGGCGGCTGGAGGAGGACGACGAAGACATGAAAGAGATCAATATCAATAATATGAAACGAATTTCAAAGGTTGGTCCTTGAATGGTCCCTTGTTGCCTCAAAGTTCCAAATGTTTTGAAAGGATCTTATGTATCTTCTTGCAGGAACAAATTTCAAGGCTAATTTCTGCCGCTTGTGAGAGTAATCATATCACTAAGTTAAGTATGGCAAACACAGCGATATCCGATAATGAAGCGAGGGTGAGTTCCTCTTCTAATATGTTCTATTTTTTCTGAGGCAGTATGCTTACCTTTTGAATACTACGTCGCGTTATTCCGAAGCTTTGTTGATTCAACATGTACTGATGTACTAACATCACTGCTAACCTTCTTGTACTGTAATGGAAGGATGACTTTGTTCCGCAAAGAGAAACAAGTTTGCGAGCGAGAGAGGGATTTTATAAGGTTGTATTCGGGGATATTAAGTTGGTGCAGTGAATTTTGCGTCTGTGAAATAGGGTTTAAATTTGGGATTCGCCTTTTCTTCGGAAAACAATAATGTTGGGGTTGTGTGGGGTTTAGTTAGGAAAGGCTAGCAATTGAGCAGTTGTTCCTTCTACCAGCTCATTTTTTGACTTTGTTTCTTTTGCAAGATGTTCTCCGCCTTATTTTTCCACATTTTATTTTCGTGCCTATAAACTTGTACTCAAACTCTGTTAGTACTGGGCTTCGAAGGATGACATTGCAGTAATATAATCCCTTTCCTTATTTCTTTTCAAAGGGAAGGTGTCGGTCTTTGTTTGCAAACTGATTTGGTTTTGGTTGAGAGTTTTCCACTCTGAAATCTATTTCGAATGCGGAGGAGCGTTCTCCATCAGTTTTGTAGAAATGCCATAGCTTTCCATTCAGCTTCATTTAGTGTTTTCTAATACATATTATTTCAGGGTCTGATCAAACTTTTGGAGACGTCGACTTCACTGAAAGCGTTGAACATAGAATCCAATTTCATCACTCCAGAGCTGCTAGCGAAACTTGTTCGAGCCACTCTTGTCACGAAATCCCTGACAGATTTCAAAGCAGAGAACCAGGTTTGTTCAAATTATTTTCAATTCATAGCCATCAATTCGTGATTCTCCTTTTTTTCACCCCTTGTTTTGAGCTTTCGCTTTGTTTTGAGCACAACCGACAGTGTTGGTGAATTTTTAAGGCCATCTCTTTTTATAGCTGGTTTGTTGTTTTCCTCGTTCTTCAAGTCCGCTTGCCGAACAGCTGCTGAGGCTGGTTTTCTGGCTACCTGTCCTGTCGTAGTGCTAGAAAGTTCACTTTGCGAACCTTTCTATTACCCTTTTTTCAGGCAGATCTAGTCTGCCCTCTCAGACTAGAAGTTCTTCAAATGTTCACAGTTTTTTGCTTACTCGTGGAGAATTGCATGATAATAATTGAAAAAATGAACAATTTGGCCTCCGTTTCATTACCTAAATTTGCTGAGGGATTGTAAGGGATGTGAGGAGAACTGAGGAAACGGTAATACTTATTGGGTCACCAGAAAACAGTTGTTCGCTTGTGGGTGGACGAGGAGAAAGAGACAAAACAAAGATATCAATTGGTTACTTCTTGACTTAGGACCTTGCTTTATTCTAGGAGGCCATGTGTTGTGCGGATTTCTAGTAGTGTGGCTCTTTGTTTACCCCCATACTTTACACTGATACGGGCTTTCAAGTGTAGAGTACCCTCACGTGGTAGCATCTTGTAAAAGTAAAGATACGCTATCGTTCACTGATGTTTAATGTTACTCTCGAGCCACCGAGTCATGGTGTTCATCTTATCCTCTTCTGAAACATCATCTTACAGACTACTGAGTGGCTATCATTTGTCACAGAATGATCGAAAGTTCTCTGCGAGTTGGGGATGAGGAAATAAGGATGACATGAACCAACTAAGTAGACTCGAGATTGCTACCCATGAACCTTTTGCTTTCAGTGAAAGTTTCCAAAAGCACCTAGTTTCTAACGTGTCTGGCCAAGAAATTCCCCGCTGAGCTCTGGGATCGAGGAAACCCCTTTTTCCGAGTAGCTCGCATGGGAGTTTCATTTCGAGATTTGAGGTTTTCTCAACGACATATTTGGAAGATATAATAAAAGTTGTTTACAAGCGCTTACGAATTTTTTCGTTGCTTTGCACTGCAAGCCCTGATGAGATTGATGGTCTGGACTGGTGGTCAATTTTTTAAACTATTTCCCCGCTGGACGTGCTATAGCTGACGTTCCTGTCACTCTTGAATGAGGTCGCCGCATGTTTAACACTTGTCTGTAGCGACTGCAACTGCTGGCATTGATCATATTACTGGCTAGTCGCTATGAGTTGTGATGATGATGACGTGCGCTTTGGTATGCGATTGACTGATTTTGACTTCTACAATTTTTGGAAAGTCTCGGCTCACTGAATCATGATTTCAGCGTCAATCAGTACTGGGCAATCAAATTGAGATGGATATCACGTCATCAGTGGAAGAGAACGAATCACTGTTACGAGTGGGTATTGCATTTCAATCAATGGAAGCCCGTCATCGTGTATCTGATGCTTTGGAAAAGAATTATGAACGAGGTTTGGCATTTACAGTTTTTGCAATTTTAGCTGTTTTTCGTTTTCTCATGATTTTTCAGCCTTATCTTGATTTTGGTTGCTCTTACTTCCGAGTTGAGTCCATATGCTCAGTGCAGATGTAAGCGGATTCTAAATTGGGTACCTCAAAGCATCACAAAATGTAGTTGGGTCATAGTTACGACCTTTCACGTTGAGATTTTTTCTTCTAAAAAATATCTCGAAGACCGAAGACCGGTCATTCCTAGCGGTCATTGTGATCATCAGTGAGTTCATAGTTACGATAATTGTAGAGATAACATGATGAAGAGGCAGGTTCTGGTGGCGGATGCCAGGGATAATGGGGAGGGAAGGGAAAGAAAGCATGTGCTTTGAAAAATATAAAGTGGAACAGAAAGGCGTGAAATAACTGGTGTTTGTAGAAGCCCAATCAGCGGACTAAGGTGGGTTTGGGAGGAGTGTGCCCGGGGAAGTTGATAAACTGTTGCTGGATAGGATTTGGTAATAGTTTTCGTAGATTAATAGCCATTCTTGTTGTACCAATTACTTCTTCGAAATGTAACTCAGTTCTCAATTTCGAGCACCGGTAGTGATCATTTTCTGGTCCTCCTCTATACTACACTAATGTTTGAGAAACTGGAGAATAATTCCAAAATCATACCTCATATTTTAGTGCGATTACGACGCCTGGGAAAATTGGAAAGTTAAAGAATATTTACCATAATCTCTGTATGCTCTTCCAATGCTTGGAACTAATGAATCAATGTGAAATGATCTGTCGCCTGCAGCTTCCTCACATTTAATTGTCGTTTACTCTGTCATTCACGTGTATACACATTGTAGTCGAGAAACCCCCAGAGCTATTGTAAAGGGAGATTCCGCTAACTTCCTCGGTTATCAGCAAGGCGACACCAGGTCTGGTTTTACACTCAGTTTGATGCTATTTGTTGTTCTATCATTCTGATTCTGATTCTGATCTGGTTTTTCCAAGCGATTCACATAGAAGCATCGATGAAGAACTTCATTAAGCTTCTTCCTTCACATAACTCAGAAATGCTTTACCCTCTGGCCCTTATCGTTCCTAAGTTCGTCCCGATTATGTAATGAACGAGACTCTTGTGAACCTTCCACCGTTGTATTATTTGGAAAAGTTTTTTCTTTGAGTTTTTTGATGGTGATTGTGTATTTTTCAATTGATGTCCTTTCATGTGTGCAATGCAACGATGTGTTCTGCAAATCAAATGTGATTTTATTCAGCCTTTGTCTCATGTGCGTGTTTTTCGTGTATGCTATCGCCGCCAAAAATGGTGGTAATACGCGTTCAACTTCTCGCTCGTGTCGGAACTTTGTAGTAGTGAAGCTTATAGTGGAGTATAAATTTATCAGCTGTTCTAGTTTGTTTTGTGTTGATACAGAGCTATTTGCGAGGTGTTAGCAGTGACACCCTGCCGTATGTTTCTAGTGATTGTTATAGTGAGCATTCTTTTCGAAAATAGGCTTTCTATATATTTTCGTTTATTTTTTGTTTTGTTTATTTGGTTGGTCTAAGCATATACATAGTTCTGAACCGACTGTTTCGCAGGATATAAGCCTTCATCCGTTGAGATCAATTTTTATACAACTCCTCTTAGGATTGAAAGTTGAGCAAACTTAGATCCGCTTTGATGGACATTAGGTCCGGTGGTCGGGCTACGTATGTTTGCCGCGCTGATTGGCACGCTGTCTCACTTTTCTTCGCACACTTGGTATCTTGCGATATTCTGTACACTAGGCAGAGCTAAGATCTAGCTCGCATGTAGGGCTTGCTATGTTTATGTTTTCATTAGTTGGTACTGATATAATGTTAGCAAATTGTTTAACCCTTTGACGACAATGGCACCCACCGATGGGTGCCACTATTACTGGCGCATGGGACATGGGTACCAAATTTTGGGAGCTACCATACTTTCTTGTTTCTTACCAATTGCTAATTTCAGAAAGCCAGTGAAAGAATTTACTCCTGGGACAGTGCCACCCACCGGTGGGTGCCAGTTGCGCGCGAAAAGAGGAGAACGTGACCCTGTGGGTGGGTCACGTCGAAATTCGCATTGTCGTCAAAGGGTGAAAAACCCCACCATAAGCAAGGTTGGCGCTTATTGTGGCCTATGAGGCCACACCGTGATTCGCTAAAGTACTTTTACGGTAGTTTGAGCATTTTGTTCTTTAGGTGAACTCTACATGCAGCGATAAGTGAGTGCTCCGCTTTCTACTTAAAATAGTATCCCTTATGTACGTGAAGAAGCTATACTTTGTACATGTCGGTGTTTTGTTATTCGGCTACCGCCTATGAGCTACCAACTCAGTTTCGAGACCTTTTATATGCATGGACACATTCAATGGGAGACTATTAGTTCATGGCGTAACTCAAAAGACTAGTCAATGGTCCTAATATTGTCATAATCTCTCAGCAAGAGGTGCGTAGATACTTCTTGAAATTGTGTAGATAGTATATTATTTGTAAATTTACGATTCCTCGCCGAGAATTCAGTGCCTCGATTCATCCTTGGTTCTCTCATGATCCGTAAATGATTTTTAATGTACGTCAAGTCGTACTTAAGAAATCTTAAGTGTCCAAAAGTTGTAAGTGATGAGCTAACATTTTCATCGTTCCTGCATCAGAGCTCTTCAGAATGATCCGGAAAATCTCGGGTTATTTTTTTCTGACCATAGGCTTCAATGTCGTTCCCAGCTGTTCATCAGGCGTAGAACTTGGATGTTTATTATACAAACTTCGGCCATGGTTCGACTGGGTGTCGTGTTACACACACAAACACAGTAGCATCTATACGCCTAGTCAGATTGCTCTTCAACACTTCGTCATCATCCATCCTCTTTTGGTATGGATAATGTGGGAAAGTCGACAAAGGCTAACCCGATCGCCCTACGGCTTCCTCGTTGGCTTGTTGTCGCTCACTTGGGCAATTTCTTCCTTCTGATCGTTCTGTATTTACATGCGTATATAACGATTATGGTGAGGTTTTTGTGCTTATAAGTCTATAGCTTTTAAGATGAGTCGAGTTCTACGCGAGTGGGAAGAATGGGCGTGGCTTGCGGGAGTGAACAGGGGAGTGGGCGTGGCTTGCATGAGTGAACAGGGAGTGGGCGTGGCTAGCGACAATGAGCAAGGAAATGTGTGGGGTCGACAGTATTCAGAGAAAGGAGCGGGGCATAGAAGAATTAATTATGAGAAGCATGGCCTAACCATATACAAACTTTTTTCATGGAAAGGGTTAACATTGTATCTTTTACGAAATGGGGTTTCCCGGAGCTGCAAGATCATGCTAGAGAACTAGATTCTCCCGAGTTAATCGGTACTACTACTACTTTCAGAGTGTCGAATGTGAGCTTCCGGAGGTACCGTTGAAAAAACCAGATGAAAGAACAAAGCGATCGGCAGCAAAACGAACTCTACCAGTTGAAGTGGAAGAGTATACGATCATCATTGGAGACAATACGCTGATTCCAGTTCGTTTTCGGTATCCTGAACCTTACTTTTTGCCTTCTGCATCGCTGAAATTCAGGATTCTACATAGGTTTGGACGCCTGGCCTGATCAGCTAAGCATGCATCATGCGCTTGCCTCTAATCTAAACTTTTCGAAGCTTATACACAAGGCATGAAAAGAAAGAAGTGAATAGACATGAGTGCCCTGTAACCGTCATCTCTTTCTTGGTATGAGCAGCGCACTTGACATTACTAAAAGCCTGGTATCATTCCCATGCGTATATTCCAGTATATGCACTGTTTTTTACGCTTCTCACGAATTTTTATCTCCCCACTTGGATTGATACTAACTGGGGCTCTCGAGTCTATGTAAACCTACATTAACCGAATTTCTGTCTGGAAGTTGAACCGCCACAGAACATACACGTGGTCGTGGCGCCTCTGACCATATCTCCACCGTCTTCGGGTTTTGGTATGCAAAATGAAAATTCGGAGTAAAGCACGATCTAGTGGAATTGGACTGATGATCACCTACTGATTGATTAATTTGACCACCTGACGCAGACCCCCACCCCACTGCTGTCGCCGACATCGCGTCAAGTCGATCCTCGAACCTTCTCCGCCGTTCAGTCCCCTTTTAGCTACTAAGATTTTTTTATCCTCAATACAGTTCTTCAAAGTCACGAAATTTCATTTGACCTTAACATGAGGCTGAAACTTTAGAGTTGTCCAAAGAGTTGTTTATTGTTTTCTCTGAATTCTAGAGCAATTTCTGAAGTTGCTGCTTTTCAATTGACTATCCGCTACAATTTTCGTGAAGTGAACGCTTTCCACTGCATTAAACATATACCCATTAATAGGTTGATAGTACGTTTTCCTGAAAATTCGGGGCTTTCCTATAACGGAAAACCCATATCTCGCTGCTTACCAAAAAAAACTTGGACGGGGTTGTGGGTGTTCCCATATCATTGAGCTAGTTACTCTGTATTTGTATGAGAGTTTGTTTTCAGAAAGATGTTCTCGATCGCTCTTGTGAAAGGATCCATCGACACTGTTCCGACACCGGCATGAAATTGATGGGATTTCAAGGTGCTCGTGGTGATCCTGGCAGTCAAGGTCCAGTTGGACCACCTGGTAATTTGCTCATTCACTTCAGCTTCGACATGTGCATTCATAATAAATTTCAATATTGGATACTCTTTTCCCTTCAGGAAGACGTGGACCTGTCGGTCAAGTGGGTCCATCAGGTCTCGTCGGCGAAGCCGGAGAGGTTGGTTCTCCGGGAAGGGACGGTAAGAATTCCTAGAACGGTTTTAGGTTACTGAATGTGATTATTTGAGTTCAGGGCGGTGTAATTGCTCATTTCCGAATATGTACGTGCATAGAGTGCCTATTCCTGGACCACCAGTCATTCAGGTTCGGAATTTTGATCGTAAACAACTTGAGTCTACGTTCCCTTTGATGATACAAGGCTCATTACATTCCAAGAAAAGGGTCCTTCAATGAGATGCGAGTAATGGTCCAATTGTCTTCGCCCTTAGGCTTGATATTTAATTTATCCGTCGTGCGTTAACATAGAGAACCTTCAAGCTTTTTCCCGGGACCTTTTGCTTTCCAACAGCAGCGCATTAGAAGGGATGCCGGTTTCTCTAACGGACTCAGTCATTTCTTTGAAATCTCCAGGAATTGTTGAAACTACCCCAGTACGAATGATGCGTCTGACTGCCCAAACCACTCTTGGCTCTTCGAGTTAATTTCGGTTTTTTGGAATCCCCAATTGGCAAGGAACCTGGGATGGCAGAGCTGTTTCACCTTTAAGGAGTAGAACATAGGTATATCTTCATGCTTCATACCCTACCCTGGGTACCCTGAATTCCGGTATCAAAAGTGTTTGTACCATTCTTCAAGAGGTTCTAGCACTCCAGTAAATGATCGTTCTCATGCATAAAACTTGAGTTCATTTGAGTTTTGTAAAAGGAGGATTCGTTTTTGAATTTCAGGTTAAAGAGAAGATGGTTCCTGTCCCGGTTGTGGTTGTAAAAGAAGTCGAAGTGACGCGTTTGGTACCATTTGAGCCGACGCCACCCGGTTTCGGACCTCCGCCAGGATGGTCACCAGGAATGCCTAAACCAGATTTGAGTAGAACCCGGAAACTTCCGAGGTATGCATTGAAAAAGTCTTCAGTGATTTGAGTGTAGGATCAGGGTGACGATTTAATTTAGGCATTAACGGCTAGAAGTTATTCGTGTGTAGAAGGAATTGACACGAACGTTTGAAAATTCCCTTTCCTAGGAATTGTGGAATATATCTGGAAGTATAAATGATACCAGCCAAATGAGTAGTTTCCTCAAAACTGCTGAAGATCATAGGCTGAACAAAATATCCCAATACTGGGATATCTCCCCTACTTGATTTTGCAACACGAGTGTCTATCAAAGTTCGGTGTTTCTTTCAATTTATATGAAGAAAGTAAGAATGAATTAAAAATAAAATTTGGATGAACCATTATGTCATAGAATGTAAATTTTTTCCAGTCTTATAGCGGTTGGAAAAGCGAGAACTTACCAGTTTTCTCTCCTCTTTTTTTGAATTAGAAAGCAAAACAAAGTCATAAGGTAAATGAAAAAAGACAGAAACGAAATTCTAATCTGCTTCGGATAGATAATATCAATCCGCTGTTAAGAGGCTAGAGGTGTACTAACTAGTATATATTCCACGTAAAGTAGTGGTTGATTTTCAGATTCTCAACTATCACTACCACGCCGACTCCGCCACCTACAAGACGGCGAAGGCCAACAACTCCCAGCAAATACTTTGTACCACCAGTATTTGGTATATTCAGAAATTCAATCATGTTTACTTACACAAGCCTAACCAGGATAACTACAGACGATGGCAGATTTTTAGCTCACTTCTGGTTCGGGTAGAGTACGTAATGGATGACCCTGTGGTTGTGACCACATAAAGATGTGACTGTTCTCGTGTGGGCGCACAAACTCGATGGACCAGCTAGTCCTGTTGCTCGTGTGAGAGGGAGTAGCTGATTCGAGCCGATTCTGAAATTCCCTAGAGGAAGCTTTGTAACAGATATAGTGCGTGGGCGACCTATGAGTAGTTCTGCCGAACTTAGTCCAACCCCTGGTCTGGTGAGTCACTAGACTTCTGGGCAGGTGAAGGACATCTGTGGCATGATTTACCACGACCATTCTAATTGATTTGCAGAGTTTCAAGGGAAAAGACTCTGTTAGGCTTGATCAAGACAATCCTATAGCATTTAGTACTAAATTGATAGAATCGATTTACTCCACAGAAATACTCATTTAAGGAGAAAACGGCACGCTTCTGTTTGGGAACTTCACCGATGAATGGGGTAACTATACGAATTACACTACAGTTGAGCCATATACGGGACCACCGACACTTGGATACAACAGGAGAGGTAAACAGACACCAAAGTAGTCTGAATTTTTTTGTTCATATATTTACGAAGGTGGGAGGTTCATTGAGCGGGCCGGATTTTACCAGCTATGACCTTCTCTTCATTGGAGAACTCCACCTCCTCAAGTGGGAAGAGCTCCAGTGGAGGAGGAGTTTTGATTTCATGAACTCCGCCTACACTCTTCTCATGATTACTGCCCCCAAACCACTTTATCAAGCCATTTTTGGATTCCAGTAGTAAACATAAGCTAAATCACATTCAATAGAAAAACGTTTTAATGAGATCAACAGACTTACCCAGCATCCCCTGAATTTTGCCAATTGTAGAGTGTATGCTTGCCGCCGTAGGGATTCCCGTCCTTCACGCTGAATCACAATATGGAGAAGTGAGTAGATTTTGTTTACTCGGATCATAATCGGAAATTGGAGGAAACTGTTAAATTTGTAATATTAGCTTCATACGGAGAAACTTATATGAGAAAAGGATTCATTTACAATAATGATCTGCGTTAAGATTTAATTTTTTCCGGTTTCGGCAATTTTTAAAAAAAAACTTCTCACCGTAGTTGCAGGGTTTTTGGTACATATTGAGTGAATAATAAGAAATAGCACCTCTAGACGGTCATAGCACATGATTCATTACTTGTATTATTATGTAGTTTACTATTTACTCAAATTACTCGCATTCTCAATTCAGTACGGAAGAAAATTTACTAACTCAAATGAATGATTCGAAATTCGGTAACTCCTATAAGCAATTTGTTCCAATCAGATCAAAAAAATTTATTTTGTGAGACTAACAATTCCATATTTTTAGTTGTTAGCGTGGAGTGGTACCGAACAATTAGGCCGGGGGTTTCATGAAGGATTGAACACGTAGCCAAAGTCGCCTTCAATTCTGGGCATTTTTTCCCCTGCTCAGCTCTGTGAAAAGCCTTAAGTATGACTGGAAGTCGGGAATGTTATCATTAAAAATGAAAATGTGTATGACGAACGAGTGAAATGGCTATTTTTGACTTATTCGTTTTGTTCTTTATTATGCGTAAAATGCATAATATGTGGATAATAAGTAAGTTTGCAACTTGAACAACCAGTGTTTTCCACTGGTTGTTCAAGTTGTAAACTCGAAAAAAGGGCTCGAATGAGGCACCTCCAATGTTTTCTTTTAATCAGCTATTTTGCCCTATTCCCTTTTGAAGCTTACGATATCTAACAACCAAAATAATTTCATTCGAAATGGTGATGTGATTGAAAAAATGATTAAAAAAATGGTTGTCGCAGTAATTATTTTGTGCTGTCTAGGTTGGATCATGGATGCGGGATTCCCATCCCCAGTCTGATCATATGGCTGAGAAACGTTGGGTTACGGACGGTTATGCATCGCCGGTGCTCTATGAATATGAAAACGAACGACAAATGATGAACAAAGTACAAAAAATCAAGTATGTAGTAGTATAGTACGCACTGAGATCAATTGTTCTGGAAGGCTCACAACTTAAAAACATCAAACGGTCAAAAGGATTTTGTGAAATAATGTGATTTAAGTAGCGCGATTGGAGTATGGCAAACTTCTCATGATGATTTACGATATTTTGTACCGATTTTTGTTGTCAACTTGAATTATTTACTTACTCTTATACCTATTCAGGTTAGTAGGCAAACAGGTAAAAAGGATAAAAAGGATAAAGTTTTTGGCGTTAATCAATCCCGTCTGAGGGATGCGCCCCCGCACTCGACTTCCATTCAGAATCGCAGTGGCGTAGTGAGTGCGTATGTGGCCTTTACAATGACTTGCGGTGGCCAGCCGATGTACAAGTCAGTGCTTTTATCCTCCCAGACAAGTCTGGTACCAATTAACCGACCCCTTAGGGATGGAAGGCTTGGTTGGCCTCGGCGGGCACCGATCCGGGATTCGAACCCCTGACCGTGCGTGTGATATGGTGCGCCACTTGCCACTACACCACCTCCGCCCTATACACCACCTCCGCCCTAAACAGGTACAGGGAGCAAAATAAGGTGGATACCTTCCTAATGAGTGGATTCATTTCAAAGATTAACTCTGGAGGCAAAAGGGTGTAGTGACCAGTTCAAACGATTCGAGGTTTTCAAATGTAATACGTGTATCGCTACACCCCATCGCTCCAATATGCCCCACAGGATAACACCTAGCTTTGGGATGGCCTCGATGGTGCCTCCTAAGCGATGCTCCTAATCTAACCCTGAATGGCTTATAAGCTCTACGGTTGTTGAGCCTTCATTAGGAAAGATCAGATCGGATTGTGGTTAGTATAAGTTCTCTGGGTGAACTTTCTCAGTCTGCTATACCTGTGCTTCTGAACCCCTTTCCCCTTTCAGGTATTATGTCGATTACTTGGCGTCCGGCACCGGAAACCTTATCTACAACGGCTCCTATTATTATCACAGACATGGGACGACGTCTCTCGTACGGTATGTCATGCCCAATCCTAATGAATCAGTGCCTTACGTACTTTGCCGATTCGGAAAAAAAGAGCAAGCGCCAGGTCGAGTGAAAGCTTGCGGCAGCTTTCTGATAGGGTTAAGTGCAACACCTGGCAACCGGCGGCTTCCATTATTCATTGGCTACTTCCAAGTTCATCTGTAGTTCGTCCTCTGTCAATAAAAACAATAAAAAAAGTTGCCCTTATGGATGGGTGACCAGCGTGTTGTATACACAAAAATAATAGCTTGGAGTTGATCAATAATTCTCCCGCACTCGCCCCAATTTCGACTTTTGGTCAGGGGTTCTTAAGATACACACGTATATCTGCAGGGCCTGTACATGTGCAGGTCCGTAATTTTATCCTCCAACGGCTCTGCTACTCATTAAACGCAACTTCCGGGATGAAGTATTTGATTGCCATGGATCAGATTCAATCTGCTAGGCATAACGACGTCCGTTAAAGACCCTACCCATTAGCCCATTCCCATCACTTGTGCTTTTTAGAATATCCAAATATAGATTGTCTCAAAATGAGTCGTAGCGGTAGCTTACGTAGTTAGCTTCTGTAAGTAGCTGAAGGAGTTCAATGAAATCGAGTTTTATAGTTACGACTTGGAGACAACCGATCAAATCGAAGCTGATCTTGGGGATATCGCTCATAAGGATTGTGGACGTTTACCGGACCATACGTTTGAGGTGCCTAACATCAATGCGTATAAATGATTATGCCATATTTTTAATTACAATATAATTATTGACTTCTACACTTCTAGTTTTGCTCAGAAACTGACATTTGTATGTCTATATTTTGCCAAAGTCCTGAAACATACTCCCAATTGTTTATATACTGGAAAAACATGAAGAAGGTGGTATAGCGAACATTTCGTTCAAACTTCCAAGCAGTTACGCTTTTAGGGAAGCCAATACAGGCAGCGGGCGCGCTGGCTGTGTCATGTCGTGGGGGTATAGCTCAGGGGTAGAGCGCTCGCTTTGCATGCGAGAAGTCTGGGGTTCGATTCCCCATACCTCCAATAATTTTGCAATTTGCACCTTCAATCATATGTCACTTCTTTAAGTGTTCCATGCAGTAAAACAGTGTAGATGAAGACGTTCGAAAACATGTGTGCGAAATTACGTCGCATTCAGGAAGTATCCCATGAGTAGGGAGTGCTAATGGAAAATGCTCTTGCTCATACCCTTCATCGTTGAGTGTGCCATGCCTCTATGATCCAGCCAACCCGCTCAGCTTGTTCACATACTTTGTTTACTTGTTTATTTTTCAGTTGTGATGCTCCTTAAGGTGCACAATTGAACCAATATCATGTTCGTTTTTGAAAAATCATAGTCTACAATCAAATTTAGTGATTCCTGCATTCCATCGAAATTTTGGTATCTCATAATATTACTTCTAAGTTTTTAGTGCCATTCTTTGTATCCTGACATTTCTCAGTTAGTTTTGTTTGAACGTGAAGCTTAGGACCTAGCTTAATTTGTTTTTTAGGACTGTAACGAGACCGAACGGCATCCGTGGCTCTACAATCGACCCCACAACTATGCTGATTTCGCCGTAGACGAGAACGGTCTATGGGTGATCTATATGCGACCGGAAAGTGACGCACTTTATGTGAGCAAAATTGAACCGGTTAGTATTGTCATCAGAAATACATTTATGTGGTCATGGATCTGGTACATACTTTGACTGTTATGCACTTTTGAATCGTGAATCACACAAAATACACCCAAGCAAACTGAGAACAGTTGAAGTGGATCGTTATGAAAGGCATACGAGACCTGCCCAACTTCTGCTGTCTGAATCTTTTTGAGAAGTAAAGTTTTACTAAAGGGAAGACATGGAAGGGTTGAAGATTTAAAAAAAACACTAAAATTGAAAATAAAATTGAAAGAGGAGATGGGTAATAAAGATGTTTCCAAGGGAGGAGAACTCGAATGTAGCGTACTTCTGAGTTTTACTTTTTCTCGCCCCGCTTAAGGAGTTCTTAGGAAGAAATTCGGAAAGAGTCTACTGTAGCTAAAACAGTTCATCTGTAGAGGTAATAGCAGCGAACGGGAACGCAGATAGCTTATCCTGGTGTCGTGTTTGTGAGAATGAAGAAAAACCTTGGATTGGAGAAAAACCAAGTACCGAGTGAAACGAGTATGACACCTAGCTGGGCCACTGAGCTACCCATTCACAGCTATGGCGATTACGGCTGATTTCTTTACAACTGATAGGACCTATGAATTACGATTAAAGTTGGAAATGAAGGGTGGTTATTCACCACTGTAATTCTGGATACGTAAGAAATACTGGTGGTTGCAGGACTTTTATATAGTGGACACATGGGAAGTGGCGGATGTGAATGGGACGCAGCTGGCCGATGCCTTTATAATGTGTGGTGTATTGTACGGTCTGGAAAATGCAACCACCAGGGATTCCCGGATCAGTTTCGCCTACGATTTGTTCAGGTCTGTTTTAGTCTTGTTCGGAGGTCGCTGTTTTTGAGTAACGATTATTCTTAGTTGAGTTCTCAGAGTTGAGATCTGTATATTATCCAGCATACCCTCTAAGCCTAAGCTTATCGCTTACTAAAGGGGAGTATGGTGATCCTCCTGCTCTTCGATTTTTGATTGCTCTTAGTTCAAGACTGGCCATCGTTCCCTTCATCTTCCTAATCGATGGGAGTACCCACTTGGGTTACTCCAAAGACTGCTTAACGCAACTAGAGATAGCAAGGATTTCGTTTCTCGCAAGAACCGACCGGTGCCTTCAGCACGGAGCCATCCCCAAGCAAAGAGGGGACGTATTCAGATAGGAATGGTTAATTATTGGTAACATCCAGTGATAGATTGAAAACAGTGGATTCATGGTTGTTGCTTTATCCTCACCCACTTTCTTCCTTCTATACGCTTAACGCATTAGATTGGGGTTAATTAGGGACTGTAATTTGGTGGTTAAAATCCTCCCCTCCTCCAGACTTGACCGTTTCCATGTTCTCCTTACCGTCGTTTTAATTTTTCAGCTTCTCAACTGGATTTCCAGTATAGGTATAGTCTAAAAGAATGGCTCAGAATTCAGATGAGTCTCTGGTATGTTTCTATGATAGATAACACATACGCACAACTATTATCCTCTCATCTTTTCGGGATAACGGAAGGACAAGCCTCTCCTTCAACTAATCTTTAATTCCAAACCAGTCCCTTCATCATTTCAGAAATGAGACGATACCTGGTCAGGTGGCGTGGTACAATCCCTATCAAGGTCTTACGATGCTTCACTATAATCCAGTAGACAGTCGTTTATACTTTTTCGACGACCGACGTCTACTCAGTGTGAACGTGCGAATGGATGAAGATGAACCGGAATACGAAGACTAAACCGCCTTATCGCTTTGCTGCCACCTGTCTGCCATTGAATTTCAACACTTAGGCATTGATTACCGACTTGTACTCTCGTCATTGTTTTTTTTTGAGAATATTTTTTGTCGTTCTGAAAAAATTTCCTTCTAAATGATATTCTGTCGTGAATTCAAGGATGAGGATTTGCCTCGTGATGATTCCTTCTCATCGTAGCATAGATGATTTGTCCGACAAAGGCGTTTTTGATGTTGTACGGCATTGAACCAACGACCGAAAAGGCTATATCAAGGTTACGACGAGATTGACGGATGGTTGGCTGGTTGGCTGGCTGATGGGCCTCGTCATTGCCGTCGTCGTCCGTCGCGTGAGGGTGTAAACGAAAAAAACTCGTCCTGGAATTCTCCGCCTTCCAGTCTGAAGTCGTCAAAGCTACGATTCCCGCACCCAACGGCTCCCGAGGTATGTATGCTTGATTTCCTTATGATCAGCATTGGCTCATACAATTCTGACTTCCGGTCTGCTTACATTCTGTGGTGTTGTAGGCTTTCTAGTAGTTATACAATCCCAAATTAGGAAAATAGCTTTCTAAGGACCTTTTAACAAGATTTTCTGAGGAAAAAGACACTCCAAGATGTAAATTCTTGTGCTATAGTCTTGGAGTATAGTTCGCTATTAGTATGGTAGTATAGTATTACTTACTCTTCTGTTATAACGCATTCCTGTTATTGATCGGTTACGTCAGTATGAGCCATGCATTCCGCTAGTTGTTGAAATCAGAGTCGACGCAATCTAAAGCGGTTTCGGCTCATTCAAAAACGTACAGGGTCCATTGACGTCACAGACTTGTGCTACTGGACTGGACTCAGAGGTACGATGAGGTCGGAATTTTCACAGTAGCGGACGATTGAGCGCGTCCGAGTGTGCACCTTCTGATTTCCATTTTAGATCTTGGATTTTTTTTTCTAATGGGCCTGGTGGTCAATGAATGGCAAGGGATGGTCGTTGTAAAAATCGTTCCTTTTCCAGTTTTTTTATACTTCACCTTGGACTCTCCCCATCACCTCCCCTAGGAATCTGATGGCAGTCAACCAGGACCCGGAACAAGTCTCACCCAAGCAAAATCTAGGACATCACTGGTTGCTGACTATTTACGTCGACACCTCCGCTTTACTCGCTGCATACAAAGATGTGCTCACTTCATCTCTTTAATCTCCTTCAATATGAACCTACAAAGGGTAACTGTTCCACCGTTGCTCTTTGGTTCTTTTGAAACATTTCCCTTCGGGCGGGTTGAAAATTTGTTTTAATGAACTCTGTAAAACACATGATAGAGCTGAACATGATAGTGCTGTAAAACATAAGAAGCAATTTAAAAGTTCTGTACTGCAACCCAGTCGGCATAATCCATATCTTAAATTTAGGAAAAACGACCAAAATCAGTTAGCTGACACAAAGTTCTACACTAGAAAACTTGTCGTGCTCCAATCATGATTGTTGCTCGAGTGGCTGGCTTGTTGCCAACGGCTCTACGGAGCGCAAATTTGGATGCAGTCGTTGTAAAGTTGAAGCTTTTAAGTGCATTTCGACAACCCTTCCCCTAATGGTGTTTATAAATACAAATCCTTGTCCAGATGTCCTCGATGTTTTGTTTATTTACAAGTTGCCGTCCCCGAGGCACTCGCATCTTGGGCAGCTTCGCTTGATTGGCAGCATGTCGATTTCCATAACAGTTCAAACGTAATTACCGTAATGGCTTANCCTTCCCCTAATGGTGTTTATAAATACAAATCCTTGTCCAGATGTCCTCGATGTTTTGTTTATTTACGAGTTGCCGTCCCCGGGGCACTCGCATCTTTCGCATCTTGGGCAGCTTCGCTTGATTGGCAGCATGTCGATTTCCATAACAGTTCAAACGTAATTACCGTAATGGCTTACTGTATCCTTGAAAGACCGTAACTCTTACAGTAATACAAGATGTTGTGGTGATGATCTGTCGCTCTTTTCTTGTTTGTCCCCTTACTTGTTTAGACTATTTTTCGTACAAAAAACTAAATTTTGCTGTATTACCTTGCAGTAAAGTGTTTCTTATTCATTTGATGCCTCCGCTTGCAATAGTGAAAAGCGTATAGTTCATTTTTAATGGTCAAGGCAAGCTGTTTTCCGTAATTTTCGCTACTTACAACTCCTTCTGCCTTCTACCTCCTATGGCAAACCGCTAAGGTGTATGAGAGAAAGTCCTATGTGCTTTTATTGCTTCTCAATGGTTATTACGTGATATCTATGGGAAAAAGCTTTTTCTATTAGTTTTTAGGCATAGTTAATGGTAGTGGGTAGTAGATAGTTCTGGTTTAGTTTTTTCTTCAGATGACAATTTCCTAGCTTGTATTCCATCATTCGATGGCGCACTCGCCAGAGGCGCGATATCGCTTACACAGAATCGCTTTGATCCCTGGCGTAGGCTAATAAGTACGTCAAATGTTTTTGTCTACTTGCCTATCTGTTATTACTTTGACGAACAGCTCCATCCATACAGCTCCTAAGGACATCAAGGAAGGGTTTAAAAGGGGTCTGTAGGTACTAGCAGTCAGTAAGGAAAGTGACATTCTGCCATTTGGCTCCGTTACTACCCTTGTACACAAAGATCAGATTCTTGGTCGATGCCCGTCCAGGCGCCATCCATCTCTCCCAAATCATTTACTTGGAACTAGTTCTGCTTGTAAGAGGAAAATCCAAACCACCAGCTCTCCCTACTACGGCAATGTTCTGAAGTTCTGTTCTTTGGAAATCACTGAGTTCTAAACGGCTTCTTCTCAACGACTATTCAGTGATATATGGGGCCGATTTGGAGACCAAGGAATGCTTTTTCCCTCTCCCGTATGAAAAGACTTATGGCATATCCGGAACCATCCTTTTTTATCAGAAAAATATGACCATCGCTCATAGGAAATATCGTAGGAATGGCCTCAATTTCCGTCCCCCCGATCTTTCGCCAGAAAAAGTCAGTATGAAGGGCAAAGTCCGTTGAAAATTTGCTTTCCGAAACCTATTCAGATTACTCATCAAAGTGGAACGAACGCGCCTTAATGATCAATTCAAGAAGTTACTTCAAGTTTTGAACATTCCAGAGTTCCCAATCCACTGCTTCTGCAGCAATATATCTTAACTGAAATTAGGTGAGGTCCGATTTGCAAACGGAACTGAATTTGGATAAGAGGTTAGAAACAAGGGGTAAAGAGCGTTTTAAAAACGAAAAAACTCAGAACTTTGCAGGAGGTCTTGAAATTTGTGTACTCTTCACACCTAATAATTTTCGGCGTTAAGGCTACGGAGGGAGTGCCATCATGTATGCAACAACCAAGAACTTTACTAGTACTTACTTGAACTTTCAAAACGGCGGACATGCGGAGATTATCTAAAGAGATAAGCTGCCCCTACTATGCTCCCTGACACGCCCATACGCTTCCGCTGGCAGTGACGATTTTTAGCCCATTTTTAGAAAGGTGATTGCCTAACCCACTACTCCTCCTTATCAAGTGTGCCTTCTAAATTCACAAATTTTGCACTACTTTTGTAGTCGACCCTTCTTCTTATATGGAATCAGTCTATCTTTATGAACTTTTCCTATCACTCGGGCAATTGACCACCATTCATCGTTCCAAGTAGTGGTCTCCAATGCTGTGTTGAAGGTTCATTATACTGGTCTTCGACAAATGATAACGGAATTCTTTAGTCGGTGCTACAGGTAGCTACCATACATTGTCGCCGTCTACCTGATCTCAGCCAGATCTGACTGCCATGCTGGTTTAAAGGTTCTCAGGTTGAACATCGTTGATTAGCGCACTTATAACAAGACGGATCTTTTGTACAGATCTCAATCTCGGCCGCTCCTTCTCCTTTTCTTCAGGTTCTGTTGGTCGCTACCAGAGCATGGCGCATTCTATCGTAAAGCCCACGCTCAATAAGCCCGTTTAGCCCACATAGTTCCTTTGAAAAGATAGCAATTCAGTACTACTCCCATACATCTATGTGTTAGGCCTGAACATTGTCTGTGTGGTCGTTTATCTCCTGCCTCGCTCTGCTCATTTTGTCCTTAACTGCAAGCGGGCAGCCTGTACGCCCTCGCTCGAGTGCTGCCCCACGCCTGATTCCCATAAATTTTTTGTCGCCTCCCTCGTAAGATCGCCATTGCACTTTGGTTGCACTGCGAATCCTGCCAGAACAATAATCGGCGATGCAAAGGAGTTCGGACCGAGGGAAACGCGTCACTAAACTGTTGTTGTACATCTTGGAGGGTTTTCCTCGAGTACATTTTGATACTCAGTTGGCCTATTTCAATAGAGAAATGATTGATCGCTTTGTCGAACGCCGCGTATCCGGTTTCTACTCAGGTTCATGGAGGTATTTGAGTGAGTATTCGGACCATAGGAGTTGAAAGAGACTAGTGGATGTTCAGCGTAGTGGTTGTTTTTTCGGAAATAATTGCGGATTTCTAAGGAAAAGTTCAACTTGGAGGGAACGGAAGCGGGAGAAGCTGATATGTTGGACAGTCCGATAGTCGGGATCATGGTTATGCCACGAAATCTGCCGAAGAAAAAGATCGTATTCAAGCAGAACCGAACTCGTGGGGCCGCCAATTATGCCTTTATAATGAGAGTCAGCAATAAGTAGTCTACCAAACCGCTCTGGAGACCCTATCATGAACTCTGCTTTGGAACTTGCCCTCATACTCCTACCATTCAAATTCTAAGAATCTGACAGTTGAGGGTGGAAGAGTGGAGATGAAGCATGGGGATCATATCGACAGGATTACAATTTTCAGTACATTAATGATTTCCCCTGGCAGATGCGTGTGGGAATGATTCAAACATGACATATGCACCCTAAAACAGTATCGGTATGAAGTAGAAAAGACGTTCTCAGCTACGCCGGCTGAAGGCTAATCAAATTCGTTCAATTTTCGGTAATGATGGTTTTGCGAATATACCTTTGATTAGTTTTCCCGAAGAATAATTTTCTTTTGATTGGTTATAATTTTTTTGATCGAAAACTGGTACTGTTGAGTCACTTAATGAGCTTGTTTGGCAATCTCTTCAGTGTCACCTACCCAATATTTAGTGAATAAGGGATAAATTGTGTTCTTAGTTGTTTATAGCTGGCCCCAGACTTATTTGTCAATTGGTGATGTGGCTAGGAGGTGGTCAACTGATATGGTCACTAAGAATCACAGCCTGACGCTAAGTAGTCTCACCAGCGCTGCTATCAGTTCAGTGACACTTTCATGGTGATGATTTCTAGCCTGATAGAAGACACACCCACGACTGTTAAAGCTTCATCCTGGAGTTTGTTTTGGTTCGGTTCGTATCATATCAGTTACGGTTTCTTCTTTAGGGTTACTGTATACTGTAACAGTTCCGATGGTAGGGATGGTTCGATATGTTAAAAATTACTTCAAAATTAAAATTACTACAACATGTATCCTCTACTGAGGTGTCGTCTTAGCATTTTTATAATTATATGTGTCTTAGGCCTTTCCCTGTGAAGGTGAATGGAGGGATCAACCATTTTCAAGTGGTGATGCACCCCTTATCGGAACTTTTAATCAGAATCGCCCGAATGCGAACACTTGTATGCGTGCCTTATCCCGTGTACCTATGGAGAGTTCACTATTCGGCCTATAATATGGTTTGCAATGTATGACTATACACATTTTCGTGTTTTCAACCTATTCTAAACGAGCTAGATGTCCTTCTTGGGCCTCTGGGAGCTTAAGAGCCCGGTTATCGCTGGACGGAACTTTATGAAAACAATTTTTTGCTGTCGATAACCGAACCATCCTACACAATGCAGCACCACTTCCCAATGCCTCATACTCGTCGTTTCAGTCCCCATAGAAGCTGCCTGGATGACACGACCTGAGATCTTGTCGTTCCCTAGCCAAGTTTATTCTGGAAAGTCTTCCATCTTCAGGAAAATAAACCATGAATGAGACAGCCCGGAGCCTGCAGTGAACAAAATAGTGGTTCAATGTAAAAAAATTTGTGAAGGTTTTTTTTTATCAATTTATCAGACTGGTCATTTACTACATATGTCCGGCGGCGTAAAACAGGTGGTCAGAGAAAGTGATCAATTAGTTGAAACGTCAATAAATGCATCTGCGTGTCGGATCGATCCACGCAATGAACTGCCGCAACCTTTCCAGCATTTTTGAGGACTTTTTCTTGTGGATTCCGTTGGTCCCTCGCCCTTTCACTGTTACACTTTTCATTTTTTTGCTCTTTTCTTTTACTTTCATTTTTGACGGCTTTCCTCTAGTCATCGAATACCACTGTACGAATTTAGTTCCATTTTTCTTAGGTTTTCAAAAAGAATATGTACTACTTTTACAACTTCAGCTAGTACTTTTCTGTGATGCGCCATGCATTGGTTTTCCGCTGATAATTACGGTATCTTTTGCAGCCGCTTTTTCATAGGCTTTTATGTTCTTGTAAAGCTCAAACTAGAACTCAACTCATGTTACACATTAAGTGAAATTTCTGCCGCTTGGACATAAGCCGTGTACTTTGTTTCTACTAAAGTTCGTATAGCATTTAATGGGCATGCTCAAATATGGAAGTATAAGTAGATGCAATTCGTCTGTTCGGATATGATCTTCGACGTCTGCCATGCTCGAGCCCTTCAACATAAAGCCACCGAGAACCAAAAAAGTGGATAATTCAGGGAGGAGAATTTATCTCATAAGCTGTGCTAGTGGTATGCGCGACTCCTAAGCTTTTTACCATCTTCTTAATTATGGGTTTTCCTGAATCCTCAGATTCTTCAGAACAGATGGGGTGCTTCACCAAGCTTCTCAGGAGTTTAGTAACAATTATTGTATAGCTTTAGAATTAGCAGGGAATCTGTTTATTTAATGCAACCTCTTGACATTCCGCGAATTCTCTATGGGATTCCCTTCAGGTAGTTTTTTAAGGCGAAAAGTTTTTTCTCGATTTCAAACACACCACTATGTATTATGTAGTTCCGTAGTCAAGGTCTACCTTCTTGTTCGGAAGAGGTGTTTTCAAGGTAGAACTAAGCGGGGTGACGTCAAGACGACAACATATACTCCTCTCACCACGGCGTTCGGCAGTTTGCGTTTCCCATGGATACCTCTGCCATTTTCTGACCTTTTTTGTCCCCATGGTGCTTCCTTGTTGAAGGACTCTGATCTCTGGCCCTAATATCTTGACGGACTTTTTCCTTTCTCGACTTCAACGAGAGGTTGTTTTCCGTACGGAATCGATGGATTGTTCGTCGTTCTACTGCTATGTGTGTTCTGAATCTGTTGGCTTTTGTATTTTTACTGAACCTGTTGTTTTCTTTTGAAGACTATCTTGCAAGGGATAATCGATGTTTCTTATGGGAGGGAATCACCACTTCCAACCAATGTATAAGTCAAGTCTGCTACCGATTAACTGAATTCAGAGAAACAGAAGCCTTGAATTGCCTGGGCTGGTATAGATTTGATCCATGGGTCACACGTGTGATATGCCACCCGAATCGAACTCGAATATTTCCCGAATGGTCCCTGAAAGGTGGGAAGGTGTTCATGCAACAGAGATGAATCTTCGATGATATTTCATGAAGCATCTTCTCTATCTCTGAAAATAAACTCGACGATACCGTGGAAGCGCATACTTTCGAAACATCCGGTATAAATTCCGAGAAGATGCTGGAAGCAACCCGAAAAAAGGAATCGAAGAAACCGATGAGTAAGCTTTGTTCGCGCGAATTGGTCGTACATAACGTTTCATGGTAGTAAAATGTTAGTAAGGGCGGATGACACGGGGATTTCGGTTTATGGGAGGGTTATTCTCCTCTTTTTTGACCTCGTTATGTACATGCTTCTGGTCCTGAATAAACAAAGCATAGTAATATGTGCACTAAATATATAAATACATACTATATGCACAATCTTTACTAGTGCAACTTCAAGGCCCAAAAATGAACCTAATGACATGTACCCTAAACAATGTATGAATAGATGCTTTTCATGGCATTCTCCACATAGCTCTACTGCGACATCTGCACCGCGAGAACATCTGCGCTCTCTTCACTTCCCGCTCTTGATGAAGCATTACAGAAAAGCTACTCCTCGTGCTCCACAAAGAAAACCATTTGCAGTTGGGTTTTAGTGGACAAGTGTGGATTTACATACCGTTTTCGGGGAAGAAGCTTGACTGCCCTGTACTGGACCCAATCCCGGTCCAGCCTATTGGACAGTACCTATTCAATTTATCAGTGCGAAGTCCCACAAATTTTGCCTTTCTATCACTCACTCACTTCCATTAAGCTACTTTTTGGCTTCTTGCTTTTTTACCTGGAACGAATAGACGACAATTCCTTATGAAGTCCTTAAGAAGCTCTGGACCTAAGAATGAACCTGGACCCAATGGATCCGATGATCAACTTCACCCACGAACGTGTCTTACAGAATTTGCTGCTATTAAAAAAGCCGAATCTCTTGAGAATTCTCGCAATGTTGGCTAGTCATGAATAAAACCTCGGCCTTGGACGGGACTCGAACCCGTACCTGTGGATCCGGACACCATACCTTTGAAAACTACTTGGTCCAATGACCTCAACTAGCTCGGTGCCACTTCTATGGCCCCTATGCTACATCCGCATATCGAAGATTATTCATCGGATGACTAGTAGCAGTTGACCCGGAAACCGATCATGGGTGAGCTCCGTCCCCTCGTAAAAGATGCGTCATTGCCGCTTTGTGTCGTCTTCTTATGAGTAATCGCCGTAGTATTTTCGCCGACCTGACAATCTGCTCGTTGCTCCTCACGTTCTGCCAGCGATCGCCAGCTGGTTGTCGGAAGGCTTCGACCCGTCTTTGTTGAACATGCACTTTACCAGTTTCCTCTGTCTATTCACACTATAATTCTCTAACGAGAAGATATCTCATTCATCCCGTTTTTTTTATCACAATTACGTTCTAGATTGAAAATCAATGCAGGAAAGTGTTCACAGCCCAGACCCCGCCCATAACGTACAAGCCCCACCCGTCTCGAGCGCGTATTATAATTCTGATATTGTCGTATTTCAGCGACAGAAAACAAGACCATATCGTTATAGAATAATCAAAAATAATATTAATTTTGTGAACGATATATGGGCCATCTAGAAATCCATCATATTCATGAACGGGTGAGAAATGTGCTGTTTGTGCTAGGTGGAGCATGTCATAAAGACGAAGAGCTGAGCTTCGATTAGCTCTTCGTTTGGAATGTGTCCAGCTTTTGAATATCACTATGAAATAGCATAATAAATGCTTCATAAATAATTTTTCAATTTTTCACAGCTCACTTCGCCTAGTTGGCCGCTTTCAGTCGAGAAAATCTTAGGATTCAGTCAATTCCCGAATGTATGGTTCCTGAACCGCTTCCCACTGCTGTATCGTGGGCGTGTACATGGCGCATTCCTGGGCAACCGTTTAACTTTCTCTCGATTTTTGTTACCTTTTCTGCGAAGATTTTCTGATTAAATCTCATGTATACATCGGGAAAGTTCAGTTTTTTCCCCGAGACGTTCGATCCATCGACACGATGCAATCTCCCCGTATTGTTTTCGCTTTTCTCGCAGCTTCTCAGTTTCAATAATCGCCTCCTACCCTCCCCGATTGTCATAACTACCTTCTGACTGCCATAACTGTTTTCAGAATTCTAGGTTCCAAAGCAGTTCTGTTCTCAGTGTGTGTCATCAAGTCCGGATCACTAACTGGCAATGTTCAAAAAGGTAAGTTTTTCCCGTTTCAACTGTTCTTCATCTACGCTTATTCACTGTCCACTGCGATGTCATTCAATAGATAACTAAGAGGGCAGTAGCCCTTGTAAGCAGGTCGTGTGATGGATCTTTGGTGAGGGCGTAAGGGACATTAGGTTCGTTTTGATTTCCTTCGGCAACCCGTTGATCAGTCAAAAATCGACTCCTTAAGAAATCACTTTTTACTGTCTTCTTCTTTTGAAAAATTGAACTGACTACTTATGAACCCAGTTTCATAGTACGTTGATTCGATTCTTTCGTAGTTCTCGATTTTGTTTTAATTCTACAATATGTTGGAGTACGCCATGCATTTGCCCATTGATTGGAATTGCTGATGCATTTGAATGCGTATTGGTCCATTGTCTGTTAAGGATTGTTCTATGTCAGATTCCTTATATTCCTTCCAAGGATCACCCTGTGACCTTGAGAAAACCCTTGCCTCAACCACTCCGGTTTTTATGGAATGTGAAGTATTCGGGTGAAATGTCAACCTGACTAATTCTTGCAGCCTTTCAGGATAGACCTAAACAGTCTCTCTAGGCCAACCTTTCAGAATCTTACCTCTACCAGAGAAATGTTTTAGCGAATGGTGCCTGCTTGTCTAACCGTCATAATTATCATTTGAACAATCCCATATTCCTTAGGAAACACCCCAAAATTGATCGATACCTATTAGGCTGGCATATCTTCGGTCATGACTTCATGCCCAAGTCTGAAAGAAGCCGAACAAGCCTGTCCAGAGGATGGTGTCTGTTAGGTAATCCCTCTGAAAATGTTCTTGAGAAAGATTAGGCGAGGAAGAGCCGGGAGCTCCTAATGTTTGCTCCTATCACGCGTCAGATGGTATCCATGTAGATGATAGATATTTACTAAGTAGTTGCAATCATTTTTGTAAGGAATTCTTCTTATGACACGTGGAAGTCAGTCTGAGCCTAAAAATGTTTCTCATTTGTTAGGATTGTTTTAAGCCATATGGTGTGTTCGCATGAAAAGCGACTATCTCGCAAATCATATGGAGATTGGGAAAGGCCTATACCTGTTGTTGAGAAGGTAATTGTATTTTATCTTCCCGCAAGAGCCGATCATCAACATCGGAGTACGCCAAGCGTTTAACCTTCTATCAGAAATTGATGGTTTTTCAGAGGACATAATGAATTTCGGTGGAGCCAGAAAATATATATGTACGTACACCGATGCCTTTCTTATTTCTCCCCAAACCGGTGGTTTACAGTAGTGCTGCTATTCCCTGTTGTTGTATGGGTCATTCATTGTAAACCACCAAACAGTTCAGCGTTCGGCATGAAAACGGAGAGAACTACCCTTCTTCCTTAGCCGTTTCTCGTCTCCTCTCTCTACTGATCTGATTTCTAAGGAATGGTCTTCATATTAAAGCAAAGCAGAACAGAAGATGTTCTCGGAGCATGCTTATTTCGATTACAGTGGTAACTCTCGGTTTAGATTAATAAAATTAAATTGATGGCCCCTTCCAGGTCGAGCGTATTACATGTGTTGGAGCGGGTTATGTCGGTGGACCCACATGTGCGATGATCGCCTATAAATGTCCCGACATCCAGGTGAGTTTTTACTGAGTTGGTTTTACTCCTACTAACTTGTTTTTCTTTATTTTCGCTCCAGTCAACTTAACCTTTGTTTGCATTCTGATTGTTCTGGACTCATTATAGCCTGTCTCTGAGCTGATAGAGCTAATTTTATAGGATTTGTTAAGAAAATGAGTTTAGTATTCTTGCAGTTCAGGATTTTCTTAGTACTATAAATACTTTTTTTCATGGTCATGTAGATTTAGAATATTTTTTACCATGGGTAAGGTACCTTGTACTCTGCGCAAGTCCATAGTGGACTTGGAGAGAGGGCCTATGTGGACATCCTAAGCAAATAAATAAATAAATGAGTACTAAGTTGTGTATTACAGTTTCTTCCAATAGTTGATACCTAGGTTACGGTGGTCGATATGAATATGGACAAGATTACGCAGTGGAATTCGGACAATCTGCCAATTTATGAGGTTAGCCTGCATTGGAAAGCAGTTTTGCCTCCATGTAGCTGCTATATGCCCTGATCCGATTATAGCCAGGCCTGGACGACATCGTATTCGCGGCACGTGGTCGAAATCTTCATTTCGTCACGGATATCCCACGAGCGATACGTGAAGCCGATCTGATTTTCATATCGGTGAACACCCCTACGAAGATGTACGGTAGAGGAAAGGTAAGTCAGATTGAGTAGCCGTGCTGTAGCAGTAAGGGCACAAGAGTGTCTTTACTGCTTAAAGATGGATATGTAAGGGAGACAGTGAGAGTCTTTTTCGAAAAAGTCGGGAGATAAGAGAAGAATGAAACTGGAGGGGATGATAGTACTACCTTAGATGGCAAGTTACTCTCGGTATTAGTAAAATACCTTCCCAAATGCTTCGATACTCCAAAGACGAGCCGTTGTGCATGGCGCGTCTGATGCATTTCTAGAATCTTCGTTCTGATTCGTTTAGGGAATGGCCCCTGATCTGAAGTACGTCGAGTCGGTATCACGTACTATTGCCCAGTATTCTGAAGGTCCAAAGGTATATTTTCGATACTATTGGTCAGCTCCCTCAATTACCGAATCACCACAAAATACTGTTAAGATAGTGGTTGAGAAAAGTACGGTACCGGTTCGAGCTGCCGAAAGCATCAACTGCATTCTTCGAGAAGCCCAACGTAACGATCCACGTCTGTCTTTTCAGGTATACTTCTGTTAATATTATTTATTACTATGAATATTATTTTTGCTTATTTATTGAATTATTTTTGCTTTTTTTTACAGAAATGAGTAGTAGACAATGCTTGCAGTTCAGGTGCTGTCCAATCCGGAATTTCTAGCTGAAGGAACAGCCATTAGAGACCTGTCTAATCCGGATCGTGTACTGATCGGCGGAGAAACTTCACCTGAAGGTATGTTATTGTTTTTTTGAAAGCATAAGTGGCTGGTGTTCAGGTTCCTGAGAGCAACGGGAACCAAAATTTCTACTCTTACAGTGCCCGATCACCCGGATAGCTTTTGGAAACGGCGAGGCCCTTTTGAGGATCGAATGCTTCCTACTGCAAAACTCAACACATTCATGCGAGACCTAAAATAGCGTGTATATATAAGTCTCCAAACTTATAAGTAACGTCCCTATCTGAGTAAGATTGCGAGACAAAGACAGAAGCATACTAGCCCCCACCCCATCCCTCCCTCCCATCTCTCCCTGCCACTCCGACTTTTGTCCCCGATGTGGCACCAATGGGAAAGTCGCTGGATCGCTGGAATGTCTTCAGAGATTGGTTTCTAGAGCAATCAATCCAGATTTTGTTGTGGTGCCATAATCTGCGAAGTTCTCCCCACACAGAGTTCACACAAAAATAAATATTGGCGTGTTTGTAAAAATTGTGTATAACTCTAAGAAAGAAGAATGAGTTTCGTGATAAATGAAGATCTAATTGAACTTCGTCAGGCGCCAGAAGATGCCATCACAGTCAACGCGCATGAACCTTGTTCACCGAGCGCGACAGATGCGGAAAGCACCTTCTTTCCCAAGCATGAACTGTCAAATGCAACTCAATTATCCGATCTGAAAATGGCAGCTTTTCATCATGAGTTCTCGCTTGCCACTATACCTGCCTCACCAAGGCTACCCGGTAAAAGGAAAAAATTATGGGGAAAGGACAAATGGAAAAAAGATTGTTGTGAGCGCGGACCACCTCTATTGAAGACGAGAGTGGGAAGTAAATTAGTCGCGAGCAGGCCATCAAAGTATATAGGCTTTCAAGTGGGAAATGGTAGAATTCCAGCAATTATGTTCTCTTAGGAGTCAGATCATCATGTGTTAAGTTAAGCTTAGCCTTTGCTAATGGTAATTTTGGTTGAGGAAAAATGTGTAATCGGCGGTACTTTAGCATGTGCAAAAACCAAAAAGTTCATTGAAAGGGCATCGATCTAAATACTGCAGAAAAATTGAAAATGTCTATAGGAGCGGCCGCTGTTGCCGAGTTGGTGCGAATCTATGAGCACTGGGTACCACGAGATCGAATCATCACCACAAATACCTGGAGTTCCGAACTATCCAAACTGGTAAGTTGCTGTTATTCCTGATTTTCAAGTTCGTGCTGCGAAAGTTATGACCGTTTCTCTTGATATCGATGGGAAGATAGTGGGAATCGAATAGACTACTCATCATTCATTGCTAATGATTCCATAGCTGTAAAGTTCATGTCTTATTCGCTGCCAGCACTTGAATTCCAGGCTGCCAATGCTTTCCTTGCCCAACGGATATCATCGATCAATGCAATATCAGCAATCTGTGAAGCTACGGGAGCTGATGTACAAGAGGTCGCTCATGCGATCGGCTTCGATTCGCGGATCGGGAACAAATTCCTGCAAGCCAGCGTGGGTAAGGGTTTGCTTCGTGGGAATTCTCTCACCTACCCCCAATGCTACACGTGCATGGCTTAATTGTCTTACTTTGGGTCTGGCCGCATATGGGCACTTCCCTATCGGTCGATAAGATAGCCATGTAAATTAGCCAAAATCGAGAATGTAGCACTAATGCCTTTCAATATTCATTTATACAATTTCAATACATTATTGTAATAACGTATCGTCATTCCTGTACGGCTTTGGAATTGAAGGGAATTGCATTCAAGAATTTTAAGGGAAGTCTAAAGGGTCTCCTTCAGACTGGTCCTTTTCTCGGCTAGAGGGGCTAGCAGCATCGAAAGGATGAGAGGAAACTGATAAATCGAGTCACCTTTAACTAAGATACGCCATGTATCTAATTTTCCTCTACACCACTGATTCTAAATGAGGATAATTACATCTATAGTGCTTTGAGGTTAATTCGGTTTATATGGTGAATTGTGGGATTACCCAGTGCAGGAGTCAGCGGAATATCCCTACAGCAAGCGAGATACTGACAAATGATCACCGATGATGGCCGTAGTGAGCTGTCTAGCGATTCGCAGCCCACTTCCACGGCACTACCTCTGCTCAATCTTGAAAGTTGTGGACATGCTTATTTGTTCTCATTTACACAAAAACTACAGCCATATTTATTTGAAGGATTCGGTGGCAGTTGCTTTCAAAAGGATGTCCTTTCATTGGTGTACCTGAGTGAATCACTTCATCTCCAAAAAGTTGCCGATTACTGGATGGGAGTAAGTGTAGTTACCGTTCAACGTTGAATATTCTAGCCTTTTTCTTATATAACCGCATCCAAACAACCTAACCCGATATAGGCTAGCTATTCGGTCCCATCTTCAAAGCAATTCAGATCAATCCATGGGCCGTTGCCATGGAATTGCTATTTCCCGTATATTTAAAATAGGACTAGCCTATGGGATCGTGTTTTACTGACAAGGCTGGCAGAATTCCCGATTTAACTAGAATAACCATCTTATAAGGAATATTGTAGGTTATCGAAATCAATAAATGGCAACGTCGTCGATTCTCTGACAAGATCATCGTTGAGCTGTTCAATACCGTAGCCGATAAGAAGATCGCCGTATTTGGTTTTGCCTTCAAGAAGAACACCGGTGATACGAGGTACGACGGGTGGTTTTTCTACTTAAATAGTTGTAAAGGAAAGTCACTTAATAGCTCCCGGTCGCGTATACGGTGTGAGATCTTGCTGACAGATTCCAAAAAGTCCTCACTCCATTCAAAATGATTACGGTTTTGTTTTGGGTTGTCAGAGAGAAGCGTTAATCGATAATCGATCAACCTTAGAGCCATTTACTGGTTTGAACTATGCAGAGTCTTCATTGGCTTGATGTTTTCCCGTACCTTAGACAAAATAACAAGAACGGTCACTTGAGAACTACTTGCCAAATTCCGTACTGATCCTTTCCCGAGGGAGAACACCAACCAGTTCTTGATAAGGGG